GGTCTCGACTCCATCATTGAAGAACTCAAGGAATCTGTCATCTATCCCCTCACCATGCCCCACCTCTACGCCCACAGTTCCTCGCTCCTCAGCGCACCTTCAGGTGTCTTGCTCTACGGTCCTCCCGGCTGCGGAAAGACGATGCTGGCCAAAGCCCTCGCACACGAATCCGGCGCTTGCTTCATTAACCTGCACATTTCGACTCTGACAGAGAAGTGGTATGGTGACAGCAACAAGCTTGTAAATGCCGTCTTTAGTCTTGCGCGAAAGCTACAGCCCAGCATCGTGTTTATCGATGAGATTGATGCGGTTCTTGGACAGCGAAGAAGCGGCGAACACGAAGCAAGCGGTATGGTTAAAGCAGAGTATGTTTCTCTCTCACACTCAGAAAGCAAGTGGATTAAACTCACAATATCAGATTCATGACCCACTGGGACGGTCTCGCATCCTCGACCTCCTCAGGCACCTCGGACCCCCAACGCATCTGCATCCTCGGCGCCACAAACCGCATCCAAGACATCGATGAAGCCATTCTCCGCCGCATGCCCAAGAAATTCCCCGTCGCCCTCCCCTCCGCCGCCCAACGCCACAATATCTTCTCCCTCATTCTCCGCGGTACCAAAATCGACACCGCAAACTTCGACCTCGACTACCTCGTCCGCATCTCCGCCGGCATGTCCGGCTCCGACATCAAAGAAGCCTGTCGCGACGCCGCCATGGGCCCCGTTCGCGAGTACATCCGCCGCAAGAAGGCCGACGGCACCCTGCGCAGCAGCAAGGCCGTCAAAGCCGCAGACGTCCGCGGTCTCCGCACCGAAGACTTTTTCGGTCGTGGAAAGGGCCTCCGTGATCTCGATACCCTCGATCAGACGCGCGAGGAGATGAATACCAATGTTAGGAGTAGAGTCCATACTACCGAGGAGGAGTCAGAGGAGGAGGATGAAGAGGACGATGCTACGACTGAAGTCACCACCACCGAAGAGGAAAGCGAGCGCGGTAGCGAGGCCGTGTTCCGCGATGACAAGTATCGGCCCAGGACCACGCCGCCCGCGGAGAATAGGCGTGAGAGAGACCCCGTGGTTTCGAGGTGAGAGAGAGAAAGAGAAAGAGACTGAGATATTCGCATTAGTATGAACATTGTATATTTCTCCCTCTTCTCTTCTCTTCTCTTCTCCTCTCCTTTTTTCTCTCTTTTTTTTCTTTTTCTCTCTCAAGTTTTTTTTTTACATATCATTGTTGTTATGCAATGGAGGTTGGTTGGTCCCTTTGTGATATCTTGAAAACGAATTACTCACTCAAATCATGGTCATGAAAGATGAAGACGATGGATGGATGGGTTTATGTACCCACGCCGCATAAATAACAGACACACTCTTACACGCATACGTACCCATATATATATATATATGTCAATGGGAACATGTATCATTAGAAATAGAATGGAATGGCGAGTTTTTTTTCTCGTCCCTTGATTTTGAATAAACAAAAAACTGAAAAAAAACCTTTCATGTCCATTTTGTCAAGGTCTTGAAAATAGGACGTACACACACTCTCTCTCTTCCATAAGACTACTCTAGATTATATTCTCAAGCAGCAACGCGCCAAACAGGCACACGACATCATTCATCATAAACCATGACTCTACTTCTCATCCTCATCCTCTTCGTCTTCCTCTTCGTCATCCTCCTCGTCCTCCTCGTCCTCTTCTGCACCAGCCGCAATCTCCTCGTCCGCATCCTCAGCCTCTTCTTCCTCTTCTTGTACAAGCAGGTCCTCCACAGTACCACCCTCCTTCTCTAGCCTCAGATACTCATCCCATTCAGGGAACATCTCAGCATCACCCTCACCATCACCATGAGGCGGCGTACCAAGAAGCCTGGCTACCTTGCTCTTTTGCTCCTTTTCCAATGACGCCTTCCACTGCTTCACCAGCTCTGCAGTTGCGCTGGGCTTGTACGTTTGTGAAAAGAGCACAGCCTCGGCAAAGCGGCTTGTCTTGACAAGAAGATCAATGCAGGCCTGTACATCGCCAATCTGCCACAACGCAGAAAACGCCACGTTGTTTGCCGTCGCAGTCTCCGCGAGAGCGGCCAGTTCTCTTAGGCCAGTTGTGTCGCTAGTAGCGCTGTACAGAAGCAGGAGCGAACCAAGATCTTTGGCCTTGACAAAGCATTCTTGTGCCAGCTGCACATCCCAGTTGCTAAGCGCAGCGTCGCCCACCGTCTTCCACTTATGCTCCGTGTCTTGTTCCCGAGCAATCGAAACGGCTTGCTGAAGATCGCCTAGGGACAAGGCAAGGTCAAAGCGGTGTTCAGGGTCAGTGGCAACCTTAAGAGCCATTTCCTTGTATCCCTGGCCTTCCAAGAAACGCGCAATCTTGTTGTTCTGGTCCTTCGGTACCGACGGCAAAGTCTCCTCGGCAGCCTCGAGATCACCACGGAGAATGAGTGTCTGGTACTCAACGACCGCCAGAGACAAGGCAAAAGAGACGACATTGACATCCTTGTCCGCGACGTAGATCCTCGAGTCACGAGGTAGGTATCCGAGGACATAGTGTGGTGAATCAAAGTGCGAGATGGTGTATGTTTGGTCGCCCACAAGGTAGTTAAGGCGGTTTGTGCTGTTTGTGTAGATGAAGCAGTCTCCTACCCACGTACCAGTGCGAACGCTTTGATTTTTGTTAGCCGTTGCAATTCATCTACTGTGAAAGTCGACTTACCTCTCGTTGATGTCGCATACAACTTCGAAAGCAGACTCGGCACCATCCTCGTCCACCTCGCCGTTCTGCACTGCCTCGAGATAGTTCTCTCTTGAATAGCGCAAGACGTAGAAAGTGTCTTCGGTCGCCAAAGTCACGAGCTCACCACTCTCAGACCAGAACACGTTGTTGGGCTCAACTTCGATCCTTCGGACCAGAGCTCCAGAATCCCAGTCGAACAGACCAATGCCGCCCTGGCCTTTTACACCAAGGAGAACACCACCACTCAGACCATCGGCAGAGAAGCCAACGTTTAGAACACTTCGCTCCTTGAAGTTGCGGAAGATCTTGACGCTGGTGGACGATTCCCGGATGGCATAGTCTTTGTCGTGCTCTTTCGACGCCCAGCAAAAGTCCATGGCAGAACCAAACGCCTGATTACGGAGAGCGAGTGCAGTGTAAATAATGTACTCGCCATCGCCACAGACTGCCACAAAACGGCCGTTTGGCGAGTGGAGCAGAGCCTGTGGATAGAGCTCGGTCGAGCCGAGATCCTTGCTAGGAAGCGTGAGCCGTTCACCGTCCTTAAGCTGGTCACTGCCCTTGATGACGGATGTGAGAATGTCATTGTTCTTGGCCCAAAGCAGCTTTCCGCTCCCGTCCATGCTGACTGCCGGCTCCTCACGACCCATAGTAATGACGACAGCGCCATCGTCGAAACCGAGTGCAATGCCGTTCTTGCCTTTTTGGTATGACACACACCACGCGCGTTCAAGACCGTAGTTCAATGACTGCTCTAACCGGTAGGTTGAGGAATGCCAGATCTTGATCGTGCCGTCTTCTGAGCCGGAAACTATGACGGGAAGCTCCGGGTGGTAGACCGCGAAACTAACGTTGGAAGTGTGGCCCTCGAGGGTTGCAATCAATGCCTTTGTGGTGTAATCCCAGACCTTGACCGTCCGATCGTCCGAGGTAGTGAGTAGATATGGCTTGTCTGACTGAGGGTAGTAATCGATGAAGTTGACGCCTTTGGTCTCGTGCGCCTCGAGTGTGAAATTGGGTGTTGAGCTACCGAGGGACCATATTTTGACTGTCCTGTCAAGACAGGCAGAAGCAAATGTGTTGGGGTCCTTGGGGTTAATGGCAATGCCCATAACGTAGTGCTGGTGGCCAGCAAACTCTTGCACGCCTAGCATGTGTCAGCACCTGCTCTCTTTTCACTCAAAGACGAGTTTTGCACATACACTTCCATGACTTGTCCCAATCCCAGAGCTTTATTGTCATATCATCCTGTGCCTACATTAGCCTCCTCTATGTGTTTCCTTAGGGTATTACCCACACTGGCGGTCAGGACGAAAGGCTGTGTTGGATGAACGGCGATGGCGCGAATGTAGTCGGGGTGGGCCTCAAAAGATGTAACCTTTTCTGAGGTGTTGTAGTTGTATACGCGCAATTGAAAGTCATCAGAACCTGAATTGGCGCTTGTCAATTCCTCTTCTTGTGTACATGAGATGACCGTATCCTACCTGCCACTATCCAGTTCTTTCTAGCGATGAAGCGACCGGCGCGGACGGGCACGTCGGTGAGCTCGAATGTCTTGACAATCGACTGCGTAATGTACGACCAGATGTGAACATGACCTGTTTCCGTCAGCGCTGATCCATGATTGTAGGTCCAAGATTATGCATACCGCTGTACAAGGTGGTGAGGATCCATGGCTCCGTTGGGTGAAAGTCTTTGGCGGTATTTAGTGACGGTCGTTTGTTGAGAGAGTACAATTCCTACCGATGCCTGTAGCGTGTCAGTTTAATCCAAGAGCTCATGCGCATTTCAAGTCTGCTTACCCTTGACACGCTCTGAGCGCGCAAAAAGCTGCCTCTATAACGATGCCCAAGTCAACAATGGTATTTCACCATGAAAGCATTCCAATTGCGTTATGCGACGTACCTTTACGTCTAACCGCATCTTTGTAGCTCAGCTATGTTCGTTGTGGAGGGGTGGGTTATGGGAACGTGGCTTTTATAGCCAGTCCGTACAAGCGCAGGCCGAGGGCAGAAGGAGATCGAGGCGCTAGTGCTGGAGGTTGTTTGGGGTGAAGACGGGTAAAGGAGTGAGGAATAAGCGTCAGCGGGTTGCGTCGTAACTTACTGCGAGTCCGCAATGTGTTCGATGTCGGCGGAGCTGCGCCAAGACCGCGACAGGGTTCAGGTCACTATTTCCCAACGTGGCAGTTTCTGCAGACCATAGAAAGCAGACGAAATGCGCGACACGACCGCCTTTGCACGTTACACAGCATGATTGAGGTCATCTCGATATCCAGAAGAAGCAAGGCACAGCCGTCTAAAGTGAATTACAGGCTTTGGTATTAAATCGACTAATCATACACCATCTTATTACCCCGCTGGCTCATGCGCTTGTTCATCACTATCTGGTACGCCTCTGTAGTTTGTAGACTTTTCTCGATTCTCACCAAAGACTATTTACTTGGAACTGTAACCTCCCCACAAATGCCCCTCATTATCCATACATGCGCGATGCATGATAGATCCAGTGGACTCTATACCAAGTTTCGACACCGGCATACAGTTACCACCGCACCCATCCACAAATCGAACAGAGGAAAAAAACGGTCTAGCTTTTTCGAAAGCATAGACTGGTATCTTAGAAGAGAAATACAACGAAAGGGAAAAAAAATAGAAAACTATGTTGGAGTATAATCTTTAGCTTTATGACAGTGTTAACGAGAGTGTCCGAACGGTAGTGACGACAAGATAAGAGGAAATTCGAGCAGCTAGATGCAATGCAAATGCTGGCCTGAATGAGGTCGGTGCAATAGATGAATGTGGACATCTTGATAAAGTGGACAGCCGTAATGTAAATACATCAAAGGGCGTCAGACGTTGGCGGTGGCTTGCAAAGTGACAAACGTCCGGTATATGGTACAATCACTCCGCTAAGGCGTGACGTGAGAAGAGCGGCAAAAACGCCTTAGTTCCAGCCGAGAGAGTTTTCAGCCATGACGGGCGCTGAGATTTGCTGTGTCCTGATGCTGCGTCCTTGGCTGGCGCTGCTGCCTCGGCTGCCAGGCGTCATGCGACCGTTGCGGGCACCGTGCATCCAGGCAGCCGCACCGCCAGGAATGGAGCCAAAGGTGTTGCGACCCGTGCTAGGCACAGAGCTAGACCGCTGGTGGGCCATGCGCTTGTTCCTGTATCGGCGGGCAACGAAGAACATGGCCGCGCCGTAGGCGATGGCTCCAACAATGGCGCTGCTAGCAACAATGGCACTGGTTGAATTGACCTTGCGGCTGGCACCAATGTCTCCTCCCATTGCGCCGCCACCACCAGATCCACCATTAGGAGATGAAGCATCACCACCTTCGCCAGAAGAACCCCCAGCGGGACCATCGGCTGGAAGGTTACCAGCGGCAAGTGGGCACGCGGTGTTGATCAAGTTGGTCAAATCGTTGACAGTAGAGTCCTCATTGTTCCACAAAGCAGAAGCAGGGTTGCGAAGTTGAAGTGCCAGCTTAGTCTGGAGATCCTCGGGAATGGTGAACATGGCCACGGTGGTGATGAATCCAGAGTACTCCATTGTGTTGAGGGGCTTCAAGCCGTAGTTCTTGACATCGGAAATAGAGATGTTCAAAGCGTCGGCAATGGCAATAGGGAGGTAGTGGAAGATTTGCTGACCACCATCATTGGCAGAAACAAAGGGATAGTTGAGCGGCCACTTGAAGCACACTTGGCCCATGAAGGTGTTCTGTTGAATGACTGGGGGGACACCTCCGGGGGGCGCAATCATCCTTGGCAAGCTTGACGGGATGGTGCTAGCAGTAGGGCTAGCAGATGGAGTGGGCATGGAGGAGGCCTCAACGATGATGCTAGTACCTACAACCAAGGTAGTCGCGCTATCAGTTGCAGTCGCTGTAAGGGACACGATTGGCGCGGCGCTGCTGATGGAAGATGGCCTGACGGGAATGATGAGTGAGGCAGATTGAGTACGGGTAGGCGAAGGAGTCGGCAAAGGAGTCTCCGACGCGGGTACTGGTGTCGAGACCGCTGGTGTCGAGACCACTGGTGCTGAGGATACGGAACCTGTGCCAGCAGTTGGCGTAGGGAGCTCACTCTCGGTGACGTTGGTAGAGGTTTGCGGAATCAGTGTGGGCACAGCACTGCTTGCTGAGCCTGTCGGCAGTCCGGATGATACCTCTTCAGATGCTGGCACACTCAAAGACTGGCTGCTCACAGGAGGTGTGACAGTGGGGGACGCAGATGTGCCAACAGCTCCTGTGCCGGATGGACTGATACCCGAGGCCGGAGGTGTGACGCTAGCTGGAGCAGAGACAGTGGGCGTAAGGCCAGTCGAGGAGAGAACCTCGGAAGTAGGTACACCAGACGAGACAGGTGTGGAAGCTGGGACTGGCACAGATCCAGTTGGCAGAGTACCTGAGGAGGGAAACACTCCAGAAGATGGCAGGATCTCCGACGCGAAGCTTGAGGCCGAGACGGTGGGAACGACAATAGGCTCACTAGTGGGGATACCAGTACCAACAGACGAAACCAGCGAAGAAATGATTGTCGGACGCAGGCTGGCCTCGCCGGAAGTAGGCACCGGAGTGGGGGCAGTAGAAGCAAGGCCTGTACCAGAAGGCAGGATGCCTGACACATCAGGTAGAATGGACGAGCTCACAAACTGCTCTGGTTGCACAGAGCTAGTGGCAGCAGCCTCTGAGGTGGGAATGGGTCCCGAACCCAGGGGCTGAGATGGGGTTGGGGAAGCAGACCCTTGAGTGCCGAGAGCAGTAGTGATTCCGATGAAGATGCCCGAAGATGGCAGAGCTGATTCCACGCTAGAAGCGCTAGTGGGAAGAACGATAATGTCAGGGATTCCTCCAGTCGAGCCAGTGTCTGGGCTGGGCGTAGGAAGGACAACCAATGGGGTGCTAGTGGGCAGAACAATATTGTCAGGAATTCCTCCAGTCGAGCTACTATCGGGGCTGGGCGTGGGCAGAACGATCAAGGGAGTGCTAGTAGGGAGGACGATGATGTCAGGAAGCCCGCCAGTAGAGCCAACTTCTGGGCTAGGGGTGGGAAGAGCACTGGCGGGGCTGCTCGTAGGAAGCACAATGATGTCGGGGATTCCTCCAGTCGAGCCAGTATCAAGGCTAGGTGTGGGAAGAACACTGGCAGGGCTACTTGTAGGTAGGACAATGATGTCAGGAAGCCCGCCAGTTGAGCCAGCACCAGAGCTAGGCGAGGGAAGGACAATCAGTGGTGTGCTGGTAGGAAGCACAATGATGTCGGGGATTCCTCCAGTCGAGCCAGTATCAAGGCTAGGTGTGGGAAGAACACTAGCAGGGCTACTTGTAGGTAGGACAATGATGTCAGGAAGCCCGCCAGTTGAGCCAGCACCAGAGCTAGGCGAGGGAAGGACAATCAGTGGTGTGCTGGTAGGAAGCACAATAATGTCGGGAAGCCCGCCAGTAGAACCAACGTTGGAGCTAGGTGAAGATGAAGGCTCAAGAATATTCTCAGAAGCGGATGGAGTCGATCCTGGAACAATGAAAGGTCCAAGGAAGCTGGACGACTGAACGGAGGACGGCTGCGCAGAAGGGGCAGAAGATGCAGTGGGAGTCACTACTGTCTCGGGGATGCCTCCAGTAGAACCAATGCGCTGTCCAGTTGATTGAGAAGCATCCGATGGAGTGTTGGGAGTGGGCAAAACAATGACATCAGGCAATCCACCAGTCGTAGCAGTGGGGCTTAAGACGGGCGCATCGGAAGTTGGCTTCACAACATCTGACGGTTGGTCATCCGGAGTAGATGATGGGCTCGGGCTGGAAGGCGTAGGCAGCACAATGATGTCGGGAAGCAGGCCGGTAGAACCAAGGATTGGAAGAAGGGGCGTAGGCTGGGGTTCAGGCTCCGGTGATGGCTCAGGAGTGGGCTTTGGCTCGGGCTTTGGTTCAGGCGAAGGAGTTGGCTGGGGTTCAGACTCTGGAGACGGGCTGGGCTGAGGCTCAGGCTCGGGAGATGAAGTAGGCTGAACAATCACCGAGGGAAGACCGCCTGTCGAGCCAGCTGGGGATGGCTGCGATGGAGTAGGCTGAGGCTCCGGCTTCGGCGAGGGACGAGGCTGAGGCTCCGGGGATGGCGATGGAGTAGGCTGAGGAGTGGACTGACGCTCCGGCGATGGCTCAGGCGAAGGAGTTGGCTGGGGTTCAGACTCTGGAGACGGGCTGGGCTGAGGCTCAGGCTCGGGAGATGAAGTAGGCTGAACAATCACCGAGGGAAGACCGCCTGTCGAGCCAGCTGGGGATGGCTGCGATGGAATAGGCTGAGGCTCCGGTTTCGGCGAGGGACTGGGCTGAGGCTCCAGCGATGGCTCAGGAGTAGGTTGAGGTTCCGGCTTTGGCGATGGCGATGGCGACGGAGTGGGCTGGGGCTCAGGTGACGGCGACGAACTTGGCTGAGGCTCAAGTGACGGCGAGGGAGTAAACTCAGGCTCAGGCGCAGGTGACGGCGACGGTGACGGCGATGAAGCAGGCTGGGGTTCAGGCTCTGGGGACGAGCTAGGCTCCGGCTTCAGCTCTGGAGTGGGTTCAGGCTTAGGTACGGGGGATGGCGACGGCGACGGCGATGGAGTAGGCTGGGGCTCAGGCGTGGGTTGAGGCTCCGGTGACGGTGACGGACTGGGCTGCGGCGACGGCGACGGCGACGGCGACGGCGATGGAGAAAGATTGGGTGTCGAGGTGGGCACCTGCACTGAGGGAGCCGGGCTGTCGGTCGTAGACTCAGGGGCACCAGATGGAGACAAAGGTGCAGTAGAGTTTACTTGGGGCAGCGTTGGAAGAACCTCCAACGGGGCATTGGGAGTAACATCAACATCGTTTGTGTTAACGACCGGATCCGACGAAGTCGACGTTGTCGACTTGTCAGATGAGCCACGGAACAGAGTCTCAATAAAAGAGGGGAAATCAAGCTGACGCGACGAGAGCTGGCCAGAGGTGCTTTGTTCCGAGGAGGGAGATGACGATGGTGATGGTGGTGCGGTCGCGTTGACGTCGTCTCGCTTCACGTGGCGTGGAAAGTAGTATCGAGGGCGATCCTGTGCTTGTCCAGGTCCTGGTGCGGGCATGGCCTCGGCAGTGGTGAGCAGTGGGCCGGAACCAGACATGCTAGCCATGAAGAGGGCGGCCGCCCAGATAGTTGAAGATCGTGGCATATTTACGATTATGTCCCCGTGCTATGGATGATTAGGTGTCTAGCGGATGGTTAAAGGCGAAAGCCTTTAGAGCCTAAGGATTGTCAGGTCACGACGCGTGCAATTGGAGTGATTGGGAGAACGGACTGTCAGGGTTATGGTAAAACGAGTGGACTTGACGATTGTCAATGTGGGTAAAGAATGGACCTATTGTCCGTCAGCATGGTGCCTGAGGGGGACGCGACAAGGGCAGCGTCACTCACTAGACTGTCAATGCAGCTAGAATTAACGCAAAAGCACCAGCAAGTGTAGTGATGGCGTCGTCGCAATGAATCTGGAGGCTGTCGCGAAATCTATGCCGTCATGTTTGACAGTGACAGGTTCCAGAAGGCAGTCGTCACGCAGGGTCGGATGCACGGTATGGACCAGCGTCAAACCAGAGTTTGGTAGACAGGTAGTTGTCAACCGGCAACCGAGTGTGGAGCAAAGCGTCGCAGTCGTCGATCAGGGTGCGTTCGAGAACAATGACAGTGGGCGCAGAGTGGGCAGAGTGGCGATGAAGTTGCGACAAGGTGGAGTTGCTTTGTTCCTGGCTAACGGGGAGGCTTGCGCGTCTTGAATGGGTCCAGCGGGGCTGAAGCGCGCGTTGGAGTCCGGAGCTTGTGCTGGCAAAAAGGAACGAGAGCGACGGTTGGCAAGAAGCAAGGGGCTGATTACGGCGGTGCGAATGCGGGAGCAGAGGTGGGATTCAAAGGAGCGTTTGTGATTCGGAGAATCGGTGGGTGGTGAGCAAGGGAGAGAAGGGGAGAGAGAGCGTAAGGCTGCGGGCTTGTCGAAGGGGCGCCACGGGAGGGGGGTTGAAGCAACGGGTGGCTTGGTGGTGCGCGCAGTGTCGGTGGAGGAGAGAGCCCGGTGGGAATTGTCGGCTGAGGGTGAGGAAGAGTCGGCTTGGGGAGGCAGCGCGGGCGACGGGGACGGTGAAGAGGGAGAAGGAAGGGCAATGCCGGCGTCAGCAGCAGATGTCGCCCAGGTGTCGAGGCCAAAACGACGGCTGGCAGGGAAGGGACAAGCGTGGCTAACGTGTGCACCCTGCAGGAGAACCAAGGGCTCCAGCAGCTCGTGACTAGCGGTGGCTTGGGAGCTTCCAGGACGGGAAAAGGCAGGGTTTGGCAGGGTTTGGCAGGGCGGGTGTGTGCATTCGATATTCGATAGTGGCCAAATATAACGCCGCTTTGCTCGACGGGGCGTAGTCGCGTCGTCGATTGCGCTCGTCGAACGGTGGTGAAGGCTTGACAGACGCAAAATGATGAGGGCAGTAGTGTAGGTGTAGAGTTACGGGCGAGGGAGAGAGGAGGAGGAGAGGGCAGCCAGGTGCAGCGGCTGTGGCCACACGCACACGTCGCGCCCGCCTATAGCATGCTGCGTGCAAATTGCAGTCGGCGGCCACTGTTGTGCTTGTGGATGCGGATTAATTTGCATCTGGCCGGTAGAGCCCTGGTCGTGCAGACGGTTGTCGGTTGTGTGGTCAAACAGCACTAGGCAAGGGAAGAGCAACCCCGGTTCTGTCCTGGTCCCCCCCAAAGCCCAAGCCCAGGCTGGCAAGATGGGCAGAAGCGGCGGCGACGGCGACGGCGTTGGTGCTGGCGGGCGCAGAGGCCATGGCGATGATGCGACACAAAGGCTGCAAGTCTAGACACGCTCGCTGATCGTTTCTCTCTCTCCCGCCTCTGTCATGGAGGGCAGCGTCTCCAGGTGCAGGGCAGGGGCCAGGAAATACTCGGCAAGCCAGCCAATCACGGGCCAGCATCATCGAGCCCTTCATTTCGGCAAAACACGGGGCCCGCTGCTGGCGGCGAATGACGCTGATCTCTGCCCTCTCCCTCCACTCACATGTTTCTCCCCCGGCGCCCCGTCATCCAGATGCGAGCATTTCCTGGGCCATGACGGTTGGCTTGACAAGGACCATAATTACGCCCAACCTCCTGCTTCCGCCCGCTGCTGACATGGCTTGTTCTAGCTGTGTATACATTCATACGGGTCTAGTAGTATGCAGAATAGCACTCAGGTCCTCCCAACGGGTTGCACCGACATTGCTCCAACCTATGTACTGACCTACATGGAATTAGACGCAGGGTCAGGGTGCCACGCAGCCCCTTCAATAACGCCCTCCTCTCCCGCTGCCGTTCCTTGGTATCTTTTCAGTCGTCCCCCGCCTGTGCAGCCAGATAGTGCCCACGCCTGCATTAGCAGTCTTTGGTAACTGGAGCACATGGTTTTTTCCAGTCGACTATTCCTACCACTGACAAGGCCCAAGGTTCGCCCTAGGCAGGTGGGCGGTTTTGGCTTCTGCTCGCCGCTCCCAGCTTGGTGCCTTGCCCGCTTGTGCGTGGCCTGCTGTGTCGTGCGGGACATGGATCAGCCCCTGTCTGTGCCCCCCAGAGCCTGGCTATCAACCCGCGTCGGCTGCCAATGCCGGCTGATACTGCTGCTGCTACTGTTGTTGTTGCTGTTGCTGCTGCTATTGCGCACTCTGCAGGCACAGCCGTTTGCCGTCATCGGCGACAAAAAGCAACTTGTTGCACGCCGTTGTCAATTCCAATGCCGCTGCAGCATCACGTACCACTTCCGCTCCCGCCACAACTGCCGTGCTCAAGACTACATACACACCGTGTACATACTTACATAGCACACTAATCGGGCTCAGACTCAATCCTTCCCCCCGGATACAAAAGGCAGGCACCACCACCGTCACCACCCTACCATTGTACCGCGCCGCACAAACACACAGGGCTCGCGGTCCTCACAGCGCCTGCCGATCCTCTCACTCAGCCTAATTAGTCCTCATGGCACTTCCCAATTCAGTCACCTGCCTGTTGCTTTCGGTTCCCACTGCACAATCTTCTCCTTTGATAGCGTCGCGACCACAATCGCTAGCTACACCTCCAACGCTATCCAACTATTGAACTCTCTACTTAGTCCAACAACCAGATCGACATGACTCCGCTATCCATATCCGCATAAACGTTTCGATTCAGTCCTGCCATGCCCACTTCGCTTCCCTACTCATGGTCACACACACACTATGCTGCTCCTTCTTCATCACCCATAATAGTCATGCATCTTTATGCTCTTCCATTCGTCATCTCCTTTTACTCCACAGTAGCCCCGGCCCTTTTTCCCACATGCACATGCTATTGACAATACTCGTCCATACTCCTCTCGTCTAGTCCAATGCGCATCATACTTTGTTTCCTGTCAGACCCACCTCCAGACTGAGCCCCTTCGCTGCCTGTCATTGTTTGTCCATCGCCCGAGCCCTTCGAAACGCGTTCCGTGTCGCTGTCACCACCATTCCTGTGGCGCAGTCGCCCGCATGAATACAAGACTATACCCTCTGAATACTACTTTTACTCCATTGTCCCAACCTTTCCCCCCCAAAGCCCCCAATGTCAGCCTCGTATACCGTACGGCCATTTACAGTGTAGCATTCGGCCCAACCCACCTGTTCATTTACTTCTCAATGACACCCCGTCATCTCCTCGGCCTTGTCCAGCATCCCGCAACACGAGTTTCAGCCTGCCAGCGATGCGCTTACTGCCGACGCTGCCTCGCCCACATATTAGCTTTCTACCGCTTATTCACTCCCCCCAGCCCTAGAAGAAAAAACAGAGGTAATCGCGTCAGGCTCTCTTGCCAACACTCCTACCGTATGACATGTCATTAAAGCCAGCCTGTCCGCTTCCGCATCAGAAAATCCCTTGCTTTTTTCTGCATCTGTCTACTTGCGTACCATTACGTGGGCGATCCCCTTGCTTCAACGTAAACACCACCAGTCTCGAATTCATCCCAAGGCCTGTTTAATGTGACACGCTTAGCATGTACTCGATATAGACTACAGAAACAACTCTAAAAGCCGAATTCATGCCTAGTAGACTAATATTAGTATACACTGTCGTGCTCCTGGTCCGTAGAAGAAGTCTGGAAAGAAGTCGCTATGTTCTCGAACACGTGGTCTTGCTTGGCAGTATGTGAGATTTGAACAAGGAGAACAATCGACATGGTCATTCCCAGATCATTTGTGAGGTCGCTGTATTCCCTGTTGTAGTTCTTGCCAACTTTTCATACATTATCTGCATAATAAGTTGAAATAGAAATCAATATCTTGATAATGGAAGTCATGTATGTGTCAAATCTCAGTCACGTGATATGCGCCTCCCAAAAATTGAACTGATAAAACAGGTATGCAAATACAACTAATAGTAGACATGTTGAAAAATGAATTTCTCTTGAATGGGAAATGAGAAATATCAAGTTATTTATCCAGGTTGTCTTTGCTCCACGCACGTCGAAATCTTGTTGAATTATTTTGTGTATAATTTACGTCTCTTTTTTTGGAGAAAAAAATATGTCACTATCATACTTACATTGCCCAATGGAAGTTTAATGACTCTCGATCATAGGTCATGGTTACAATTCATCGCTCATTGAACCAACATTTTCCCTGTTTAACAATATACCTTTATAATATCATCTTGAATTTGTCAGATGAGCCAGCTGATAAAAGGATAGTAAAAAGCTCACTCCGCAATGTTCACTTCAAGCACCGAACAGTGAACGAGCTCAAGTTAATAAAGCTCAGTATGATGTGCTTTGGTCGCATCACTGTGTCACTTTTACCAATGCAAGAATATCGTCGGCTTTGTCATTGTGATATATACGCATCTACCCACTCTTAGAATCATACACCATGCGTATTCTCAGATCTTCTTTTTTTGTACTCCTCACCCTTACTCGCCCTTTATGTCTTCTCTGACAATATTGATTCCTATCCCACAAATATCATATAGCAACTTCATCACATCACTTCGCCTAAGAATCAATTTTCTTTGCGCCGCCCGTGTTATAACGCGTTATGACTACCAAAGTTGAAAATTCTATGCAGAGTCACATTGGCAACGGTAAGGCATATCATATCTTTTTTTTTACCGGCTCAAAAATCATAACGGAAGTCAAGATAGAGCAATGCCGCGCATTTCCATCGGATGGGATATCATACCCTGATTAACAAATGCAAAATCCGCTCCGCATCTCAGCTCTAGTACTACCACATTATTCCTCAACAATTATTCTAACCCCTCACTCACGACACCATCGCTCAAAACAATACAGCAGATATTATGGTGCGGACTGAGACATTATACGCCCCAAATAGAATAAAACGTCTCCCTGTCTAGGATACCCAAGCGAGTTATTGCATATCCTAGACAAGTGCAAGCGTACTGTAACGTCGCGAATGCGCTTGACATCATTCGGGACTCGACCACCACTGCCGATCAAATCAAGCAGACTATTGCATCACCCTCTTTGAGCACAAGTACGAACACAGCTGACAGCCGTTGCAAGACGCAGTCACATCATAGGAGGATTTCGATTGCCGATCTCTGCCAGGCTAAATGCTGGCATGCACGCACACGACGTTGCGGCTGAACCCTACAAGCGGCGAAGCTGGTTTGGTCAGATCTTCATTGACATCACAGCCACAGTCAATAAATATGCATATAGACCTGCGTCGAGTACGAGTTATAACCCTCCCCACCTCAGGAAATCGATAAAAAAAACCCACCCGCTGCTTTCCTATCGTCACAACCCTGCCGCGTCATTCCGCGAATTCGTCATCACAACACTCACCATGCGCACCATCTTCACAGTAGCAACGACGGCAACACTCTGCTCCCTCGCCTCCGCCCTGCCAACATCCAACCTCGCCCCGCGAGCAGGCGGCCCGGCAATCGTACCCATCCCTTCCACCTGCACCGTCACGTCCCTCGCTCCGCCCACCACTAGCAACAACAACAACAACCAGTCATTCCTCCCCGCCCCTGGCACCGCCGACGCCTCCCTCTACAGCGCCTACTACCCCTCCTTCTCCTCCAACAAGACACAAATGGCGCAGCAGTGCCTGCAACAATGCTACGGGTACGGCGACCACGTCGAGTGCAAGACCGCGTTTTGGGCCGAGAACGTGGTTGTGCCGTCGGGTTATTATGGGACTGAGGGGGGCTATCTGGCTACGGCTTGCTTGATGTTCGATCGGTTGTTGGGCGAGGGCGATTTTATCGGGGCACCCGAGGGGCAGGGGACCGGGGCTTTTGCTGCGACGGTGGAGTGTTGATATGATGATGGGGTATGATAGGGTATGAGATATAAGGCATGAATATGGGTTGGCGTTTTTCGGCTTTGTGAGGGTAACATGGGTTTACGAATATGGTTGAACGTACCAGGACGGCATTGGTATGAATGAATACGTAATGATTTCGCTTGCAGCGTGTTTTTTTCACTTTCAGAAGCGAAGTCCTTTTAGAATAAAACTCAATTCAAAAATCATACATGAATGATGGATAATGCGAGACGGATGAGTGCCACTTGCGGACATACTTTTGCGGGAGACCTTTGGTACATATTTTCTTTCTATGAACCCTCTTTGCTTTTTTATTCAACGAGCTTAGGGATTATATTTGATCAATCAGCTATAAGTACACTAGGTATTTGCTGTTTGCAAAGTCGAGACACCGTTCAATGATGTTTTACCTATTCATACATATACATTTTGTTTGTTTTTTCGATAACGCCAGATCGACCAGATACAAGACAAGTACATGCTTGGGAAAATTAAACTTCAACTTCATCTTCGCTGCAAGTGTGCGACCGGCTCTTCGCTATGACATTCCTTCGCTAAACTACTGTCTCATTTCGGATCACTCATTGATATTCCATGATACCATAACTTGTAACCACTCGTATCTGCAACCACAAGCAACATTGTGCTACTACTATATCGCTTGTTTCATCTCACAACTAAACTCGCTACTCGTGTTACCAAACCAATCCAACTCTCGCCCACCCCGTACCTCTAGCAAAGTACTATTCCCCATCCCACATCGTTCACCCATACCTTCCCAAATCGAAAATCTCAACCACTCGTATCACTTGTGGCAAGAAACAACGTACGACTATCATACCACTTTTCTCTTCGTATACCAACCTCCCTCCTCAGACCACTTCCAAAACTCCAAAACCAAGACCATCAAAAAAAAACAGAGCCGCAACCGTTACAAAGCCATGTAGCATTTCCTAGGTTATATACCGTACCACGGTACACATCCCGCCTAGCCTTCATCCCGTCCCGCAACTACACCTTCCTTCGGTCCCAGGTTCCTCGCGCATTTACCATCGACCAACGCCACTCGAAACGTGACATGTACCCGTCGTAGTAGAGTACTTGTAATTCTTGCGCCACTATCATACCACAAAAAAAACCCTGCGTTACTGTGGCGGCTCAAGACACAAGACTTGGAGTTAGACGACGGGGTTCCCCGACGTGACGTGACGTTCCTTATTTTAGTACATACTTACTTTACCATCTACGTAACTTGACCCAAGAAACCTTTGGAAAATAAAATAAAGAAAGACGATGGATTAGTTACGTAGACTACAGGGGAAAAGGCGGGAAAGAAAAGAGCGGTTGGAAGGCTAGGCTGGATGGGGGAGGTAGTGCCGATTTGACTTTGGGGGGGGGGTTTTTTTTGTCACGCACATGGCAACTTGGTTTGATTGCGGGTACAGCTTTGTTTGAGTAATGAGGGAAGACGGAGAGACGCGCATGGTTTGGATTGTGTGTAGAGAATGGCAAGTGTACGCGGGATGAGGGGCACCTCTCTTCTTTTCCCGCCTCGCTAAACATACCCCCACTGAAGTACTAGCCCCACCTGTGCGTGGCTAGTGTGTGTATATGTGTGTAGTAAGTAAATTGTTTTGGCCCCCAGAAGAGGATTTTTTGGGGGGACATCGGACATTTGTCGTGTCTATTTGTGTATGTGTGTGTGATGATGCTGCAGCAGTGGGGGAGTCGAGAAAGCGGCCTGCAAGTCTAAAATTATTTGTCGTGGTGGTTGTTCTTGTTGAGTGCAAGACATGTGTGTTTTTAGCTCCGCGGTGAAAGAGGCGGCAACACGTGAGCTGTGCTACTGTACATGGGAAAGTCGGGTTCGGGTACCTGTCCCGCACGTGCAGCAACAACCTACCAACTTTTACTCCCCCCCAGCCTCGACGTCTTGTCCGGCCTGCATTTCGTCCGTACTACCCTTGCTTCAAAATTATACAGAGGTTTTTCATTCCCCGATATATGACTGATATCCTTCTCTTTTTTTCCAAGAGGAAGAGAGAGAAAAAATGACCATTACCCACATACGGCAATACCCATTCGCTTGCCTGCAGCCCAAAGTCCAGCCCAAAGCCAAAACCCCACCCACGGGATACCAAAATAACTCCAGCTCCCGGACCGCAATCACCTACGTGCCCCCCCCCGCCCCACCTCGCTTGACCAGTTTTTGTAATGTACTCCACCAAGTGTACACTGTCCCAAGTATGTGGGGTCAGACAAAACAGGCGAAAGAAAGTTAGGTAAGAAAAAAATAGTACACTAGCAGTAGTATTCCGCCATTCCCCTCCCCCGAATTCAGGCTCCTGCACTCATCCCTTTGAAGCAAGAAAAGGCGAAAGAACAAAGTAAGCTTGAAGCGATGTACTGTGCCATTCCCCGATTCACATTCATGTCTCGGATCTCAAAAGTCGCCAAAAGAAGTAGAAGAAGCGAGATACAAAATAAGATACATGTACATGTGAGGCCTTATTTTTCTTCATGCTTCCCCTTTTAGCACGGGAGCTAGTACGTAGTTAGGTACTGGGGGCCCAGTCAGGGCGGGTAGAATAAGAAGAAGAAGAAGAAGAAGAAGAAGAAGGAGGAGGAGGAGGAAACCGGGAAATGCCATGTGTATAGTAAGTAGTAAGTAAGTATGTAGGCGCGACCAAGCCAGCCTAGCGCCCAACTTCACTCGTTCCCAAGCCAGCCTTTTCATTGGCGGAAATGTCCGTAGTGACGGATGTGAAAGAAAAAGAAAAGAAAGAGAAAAAAAGAGACAAGAGGCTGACGAGGCTGGTTAGAGCTTGGCCAACTTAAAAACTGACTTGGATACCTACCGGCTTTGCTGACTATTCGGCCTGCTATATCGGGATACGAGTCCGTGGCTTGCTCTAGCGCAGAAACGCAGATATGGGGGCGCCGGCGGCCGGTGCGCGGTGGAGTCGACGACGAGCGGAATGCGGTTATTTGGGATTTTTAGGGCTACCCTGGGTGCAAGGGTCACGGGTCCGTGAGAAAGGGCAGGTAGCACGCAAGAGGTACAGTAGTAGTAGTAGTAGTGGCAGTAGTCCTAGTTGGGCTAACGCGAGATATGTAGTATGTAGGTAGTGTGGAAAAAGTTAATTCTATGGCATTATGGTTTCCTATCAAACAAAAAATAACTATTTCGGCCGTAGCTGCGTCAAGGACTTGCCCGCGGTCTAAAAAGATATTTACGCTTTCCGACAAAACAAACATTTGCCTATTCTAGACAGTGGTTTTTGTTCGTTGTGAGCGAGCGAACAAGCGCCATAGTCATTGGATGTAACCTGCCCAAACCCCAGACCCCAAAGCAAAAGCGCTGCAAAAGAACAATCGTCGTGTAAGCGTGGCGAGAAGAAGGGGTATACAAGAATTGAAGTCGTGCAACAAGCGATGGTGGAAGAAAAAGACATGTCTGGCTGATCAGGAAACAGCTTCAGTCTTCACCGGTGTCGTACTCTTGAACTCGCCGTGCAGTATTTCAAGTAGTTTTCGTAGAGTATCTGAGTTTGTGCTGCGTCGACGTATGGAAGTGCCGTCCTCATCTTCGCCCTCGGCATCGTTGTCCTGTGTGAGCAGCTCAATGGTTTTCCGGAGCTTCTCGTACGCAGCGTTCAGCTCAGAGTGTGAAACTTCGAGCTTGGTGTACTTTTCGTTGAGAATGGAAAGTTGGGTTTCAAGGTCCCGTGCATGCTTTTCTTTTCGCTCACGGAAAGCGCGCTGGGCAGCACGATTTTGAGCTCGTCGGCGCTAGTGCTGGTTAGATCAGATGCTAAGTATTTTTAGAGTCAGACTTACACCAGAGGTTGTGTGTGTTCGCTCAGCTGGGGCGGGTGTGTGTACGGCTCCAAAGGTTGGCTCGACATGTTGCAATGGTCGGGGACTGCAGTATGGGCTGTCGTGGTCGGATCCAAAATCAGACGGAGTCATTGGCATGGGATACGATCCAAACTGCATGGGCTCGTCGACAATCTGAGGATAGTATGCATGCTGTATTTGGGCGGGAAACTGGTCATATGTGGAAGAAACCTTTTGAATATGAGTTTCGAAGAAGACGGCACTAGCGTGATCAACTACTTACAGGCGATCCGCTGAGGCTGGGGACTTTGGACAGCTCTGGGGGCATGTCGAATACGGTGTTCTGGTGCGGGGGAACAACATAGTTGCCCTGGGCCATCCAGTAGTCAAAGGAATGGGAATCCATTGCGGTAGTAGTTGGGTGCGCTATAAGCAATGACGAGAAGAGTGGTGGCGGTGGTGGTGGTGGTGATTAGTAGGTCTGGTAGTACGTATGGCAAGGCTAAGAGCGTGAGTAGGTACGGCGTGCGATGGCGATGTCTGTCTAGGCAAGTTGCTTATGTGGTGAAGAAGGCTTACACAACGGTGGGCAAGCTGAGATCTTATACAGGAAGCGCACGACGGGCATCGAGTGCGTCGATGTACTAGTCGGTAGAGATGGTGGCCGAGGGCTTGGACAGGGATTTGGGAAGCCCATAGCCATGACCCATGCCACCATGTCCGCTTCCAACGGCCACAGCGGAGCCTAGGCAAGTGGCGCTGAGCGAAAATACGTGCATAAGGCGAGCCTGACGCTTGCCTTTGCGTGGGACTGTCGCGATACTTTCGGCCCACACGTCCGGGGCACAGGCCAGGCGTGCAGCGGGCATCCCAAGATGTTGTTATTCTCGTCGAAGAATGGCTCGCCAGGTTGGACCACCGATTGCCGCGGGCCAGGGGCGTGCATGGAGGCGTGCGCTATGCTGGTTTGAGTGTTTGATAAAAGATTGACAGGCCTGCTGAGCTAACCCGCACATGTGCAGCACGCACGCCCGTCATTTGTGCCCGCCTTTGACAGCATCCAAAAGGTGCCTGGGCGTGTCTTTTCGAGAAGACAGGCGCTGACCATGCGTGGTAAGGTTAAGGGGGGGCGAGACAACGGTGGCGACGGGCAGTGTGTATGTAGGGAGTAGTTGGTAGATAGTAGTAGGCAGGTAGTACACCCACCCACACAAGTGGGATGGGGTGGTTTGGTGACTGGGCGGTTCGCATGCAGACCCGTGGATGGTGTCCGGGACCGTCGAGTATGGTTTGATGGTACACTAGCCAACGACAGGAGGGCCAGGTGTCGCTATCGCTGCAATGACGTACGGAGCCCGGGGTGGCCTTCAGCTCGTCTGCATGTGTTGCTTGTGGGTGAGGGGAGGGCAGGCCTATGCGTAGTGTAGTGTAGTGTAGGCCGAAGTTCGGTCGGGGTCACGTGTCGTTCACGCTAGCCACAGACAGCCACAGATGCAGCCGCCCTCCAATTCTGTCACCGCCCTTCGGCCTCGCTTGAAGACGACTCCGGCGAGCACACGGTGCCGAAAGGGCGCCTGTGTGGTGCACAGAATAGCCGGCCTCAAGCCGCTTCAAGCGGTGACTCTGCGATAACAGCCCTGCATCCTGGGGATGGACGAGCATATGCTGCGACTACACTAGTATTGGCGAGTGAGTGCTGCTGCTTGCGACCAGACCAAGGCAGGCTGTTGTGTCTTGCTGCCACTATGTCCAGAGGATATACTGCAGACAGTCGGCCGACAGTGTCTTGGTGAAAAGCACGCATTATCGCGCAAAGTTGATGGCTGGTAGCATCTGGCACACTCGATCGGTCAGAGATGGGGTGTCGAGGCTGGGGATTGGCGGGCAGACGTGACTGGCACTAGCACGTGTTGCCCTCGACTCTACCAGTCCACGTAAGCGCCATAGCCATGACTTATCAGCAACCTCTTCCATGTAACATTGCTGTAAGCGACCGCTGCCTGCCTACTCCCCCAGTGCGACTATTGTACCCTCCCACGCCACCCTCCGCCGCGCTATCGACTCATTCTCCCTCCCTCATTCTGCTCCCCAAAAGCAACACGTTGTCCCCGTTGATCGGTGCTGGCCGCTACACTTATATATACATACTTGTATACAATCGATACTACTCCCTCACAAAGGTCGCTCTCATGTGTGCCGTGGCGTACGACTTGCACACATATTTGCACCAATCTACGTGGCCGTCGAGTAGGCCACAGCCCTACCTGCGGCCTTCTGCTGCCTTCTGCTGCGACTACGCTAGACTGCTGGCTGAAAAGAGTAATTTTGCTTTGGGCAAACAAGACCGCTCCGGTGACGTACAACCCTCCATCGAGCCGTCTGGACTCTGGCCCCAGCCATTCCCCTCGCCTGGAAAGCCCATCCGCTTCCAATCCCCTTGACCAGACATGCATATGCATTGCCAGCTAGCCGCATACTGTAAAGATCATCGGCCGCTGCAGTAGGTCTACAGTGTACACATATGCCTACAGCAGCGAGACAATATGGCTATCTTATCTGATTTGCATTTCTCCCATCCACTGATTTTGTGGCCCGTGCTACCTGCAAGCAAGCCCCGACAAGATATCTCCAACCCTGCGTACACAATCGGTCCTGCAAGAAAACCACTCGACATGGCTTGCCCCGCTGCTGACACAACCCTCCTGCTGCACCGTAAAGCACCAAGCCTACCCAGCCGGCTAAACAGTCAGCAACAGCAGCAAACTCCCAAAAACACCCTATGTACCACCACATTTTAGCGACTCGTGGGGTTTGATTCTGTTCTCCCGCATTGTCGTGCACCCGCTCCGGAAACTATCGACACCACTAGTCCCAGCCCGTGAATTGTTAATGCAAGTCTTCTGCATTTATCAACACAGCCGTCTCAATAACAAGCACTGAAGGATTCCCAGCACCTGACACTTGTCTGGTAAGAACGCCTAACGACCACGAGTCGGACTGCATTTATTTTCTTCATTTCACCCCCAGCCTATCCGTCCCGCCTTATAAATATCTTAGCACAGTCCCCAATCGTCATAGCGTCGTGGGGCCGGCGCATCTCAGGGTCCAGTGCCAGGTCAATCCGGCGGACGCTAACACAGCCCTACAAAAGCACTTGGACATTGCTGCTTTTACTGACTGACACTGGTTGCTTGCTTCCGATACTCCATGACCCAGATCCATCGTACGACACAGACACAAGCCCACACCATGTGTATGCCAAGCTTTCCCATGGCATCTTGACACGCGGGGAACTCGTCGTGAGAATTGGGGGAGCAAAAGCCAGCCACCATCGGACATCCGTCGTGGTTGGATACTCCATGCATCTGTATCGGTAGACTACGCCTTGTGTATACATGAACGAATATCCTATTGTAGACTGTAGTCTGCCCTAGACGTCCCTCACTCTTTTTCGCTTGAAGCTTTCCCAACACTGGTTTCTTCTCGCCTCTTGGTAAGCTTCGCGCTCGCATCCCGCCTTCGTTATTTCCGCCTCTAGCAGCGATCCGTCCGTCACTTGTCTTTTCCTGCCAGCTGCCTCTTCCCCCCCTAAAACAAAACCACACGGGAAAGTCACTCAAACATACATATTTGCCGATTATGTCCGACCACCGTACGCGTCAACGGGACGCCTGGAAATGCTGCCTGCGGATTCCGCGTCTGCCCACAAGCTCCCAAACGCAATCTTGAGTCCACCAGGAACATGCCCTTGTAGTAAAATACCTCACTACTATCGTCATAGTAACCTCCCCCCTCCAGAATTAGTGTAGTACTATCTTACACAAAACTACACCTACGTACGTACGCATGTATCTAAACCGCCCGTGCACCCTTTCTCCCCACCCCAGTCGAAAACCCCAACCCCCCAAAAAAAAACCACCGCTCGGAACCGACCCGCAACCGAATCTTTACCTGTAGCACACCAACAACCCCATGTCAGCGACACCACGCATGCACAACTCGAGACTAAACCCATGTACTTACTTTCCCCTCGCGTAAGCAGTACCCTGCCAAGCCACCCAATCAAAACCTCTCTCTCCCTTCTTTCTTCACAAGCCACAGTTCCAAGACCAAGACCAAAGTCGGCCCAAGCTGCAGCCCAGCGAGCCAGCAACAAGCAAGGGTCTTGATACGTTATTTTCCTGACTGCAGCAAACTATGTGGTCAGTGCGTTCCTTCCATGCATCCTTCTAGACGCACCTTTTCTCTTTGCCTTTTGTGTCATTGTTGGGCGAGGGGACTGCGGGTGTGCGTGAGCCTTTGACGTCAGTACGCAGGGACATGCATGGGTGCGTGGATTTGAGCCTCGACTTTTGCTTCTTCTTGATGCGCTGACGTAGGCTTGGGTGTTCTTGGGAAGAGAAAAGCTTGGGTACGCTTGTTGCTTACTTAGATGCTTGCGTGTATGTGCTTGCGTGTGTGTGTGCTTGCGTATGTAGGTTTGGACCTTGGGGGAAGTATGGCGACGTCACTGCGTGAATTGTGCAGGGGCTTGAGGAAGGTTTGATCAGCATTTGTTCATGTCATGTGGATATAGTAGAGTGGTATGGTTAGACTTTGACTGTGCACCTTGGTCTTCTTCTCCTTCTTCTCCTTCTTCTCCTTCTTCTCCTTCTTCTCCTTCTCCCCCCTCTTCCTCCTACTCAACTACTCACTCTCTGCCGTCTTTCACAACCCCACCCCTGGTTATCCAAGCACATGTCGAGTGTTAGAACGTAACGATCGAACAAACAAGAGACACACCAAAGACTTGTGCCCACTTGAAGCAACTATGACTGTTAAGCCATACTTTAACAATCCATTTATCCAAGCCCACACCCAATATGCACTACTCGAGCTGAGCACTTGGATCAACAGGCAAATGCATCACTAAGAGCATTCATGTTTGTCCAGACCATGTTCGAAACTCAATCATAACATTTTTCATCGTCTATTTACTACCGAACCCTATCAGTCCCCATAACATCCGCCTCTCATCTTCATCATGCCCACTTTACCGAGGGTTAGCAATTCACATCTTCACAGGCATAAAAATCGTAACAGTCGTCACATTAAACACATAAATATCATCCTCGCACTGACATGAGCTTTGCAAACATGAACAAAGCATCATGGGCAGAACACGAGGACGTAAAGGTGCAGGGATTGGATACTGCTTGGAAGGCGGTATGGAGGGACCGGAAGGCACGGCATATGTCGCAATCGGTAATCGCAGGACCTAGAGTGAGTAAATTGGCGCATGGGAGAAGCAACCGAAAGGTAAACCAAGGAAGGAAACCAAATCGCGAGGGCATTTTCAAAAGTGTTCAGGGTTCCAAAGAGGGCTCCAAGGGGGTTTCCAAGAGGGCAAGGACTCCAAGGTTATGGGATTATCCGGGTGGGTATACGGCAAAGGACTTTGGGAATGACCGGGTGGATGGTTTAGGGAAGGTTGCTAGGTGACCGGGCGGAGGGTGTCGCAAAGGCTGCGGGAGTAACCGGGAGGGTATGTGATACAAAGGCTGTGGGAGTGGCCGAATGGATATGGTATGTCGCAACGGCTACCGGGGTATGGAATGATTGTCGCAAGGCGGTCGAAGGTTGCTCGGAGGTTGCGCTGGAATCGACCGTAGCTGCAATGGGGCTTACCTTCACACTTCACCTCGACACCACGCATTGCCATGAGGCACCGACCAGATTGAACGTGGTAGTGCTGATAACTACTCGTGATTAGCATGCAAACTCCTCCAAACGCCTTCGCTTTTATTTTTCCGAGACGCCGTATCGCTATGCAGAACAAAAAAAGAAATCAAAACGTATACTCTACAGAGTCCAGAGACCACTCCGTCGTTTGCCCATGGGGTAGACGAGGAGGGCCGCCATGAACAAGCCGACAGTAATTCCAATGGCAATCTGGATCATGGAAGCTGCGACGTTGAAGACAATAGCGTTCAGACTATCGGGGCTCGACTAATTTGCGTTAGCAGTGACCATTTGAGATGATACCAAGTGTCTTACATCAGTCGCTCCTGCTGCGCCTTTGATCAAGGCGGATGCAGTTTTCAGAGCAGAGTTGATACTCCCGCTTGATGCAAGAGATCCAGGGACCTGTACATAGACGGCGGGTAGGAGGACAGCAGCGGCAACTCCGTGGCGCAGTCGACTGTAGAGGTTGGCCAAAACACCAACGGTGAAGGCACCAAATGTGTATGCGATTGGAGCAGAAGATGAGAATTTCTTGCTGGCGTAGAAGTTGACCAAGTAACCAGCAAAAGCAATGATGATCATGGCAGGCATTTGCTTGTACTTTGCTTGTACGGTGAAAGTCGTGAAGAAGACATACAGAGGAACGAAGAGGAAGCTCCAGTATGGGTGTAGGGGTTCCTGGCATTGGGTCGCGTTGGTGGCATTGCTATCGATAGCACCATAGATAGCCGTGCCGACGGTTATGCCATATCCCAGAAAGAGAGAGTAGATGATGGCAAAGACAAGTCGGATGGAGCCAGGCACAATGGCACGGGACTGGAGTTCGAGGGCAGAGCTCAGGACCAGCCATCCGGGAAGGATCAAGGCGATGGCGCTTTGTGCAATGGCTGAGAAACAGAAGAGGTTTCCATTGTTGATGCTGCCAAAAGCACGAGCAAGGAAGCTCATGAGAATGGTAGCGGAGATTTCGAAAACAGTGCTGTACGTCTTGGATAATGGAGCGATGACCAATTGGAGCACGCCCAAAACCATACCAAGGGCGAGGATAATAGGCATGTCAATGAAGCGTGCTGAGAAGAAGACGGAAACGGCCGCGCTAGCCAAGCCATACATGATGACGGTCAACCAGACGGGATGACGGTCTTTTGCGTTGATGACGGTGTCGAGGCGGGCAAGAGCTTCGTCGAGACTGATGACATCATGCAGGACTTCCTTGTAGATCTCATGAGTATCTTTGAGCTTACCCAGGTTGACGCCCTGGGCAGTGCGGACAATCTTGACTTCGGCGGTATGGGTAAGGTTGTCGTCGAAGGAAATGATCATACAACCAGGGATATAGAGAAACTGGCTGTTAATCTCGAGAACCTTTGCTGTCATGGCAAGATATTCCTCGAGGCGATGAGTAGGTGCGCCAAAAAGCATGAGAGCACGACACATGCGAATAATGTATTGCTGTCGCTTGAGGATGTTGGCCACATGAATCTTGATCTTGGCGTCCTGGTCTTCTTTGGCCTTCCAGACTTTTGCAACAATGCCACCACTGGCCGTCCGCTTGTGCATGCGTGGTCGCAGAGCAGGGTCTTTCTTTTCATCTTTAGGGTTGGCCAACTTGGCCGAAGCACCAATCAGAGTAGCCAGTGTGTCGGTTGATTGGATGGGTTTGTTGGCATTGTACCATTTCCGTTTTGGCGTGTTGGCACCCGAAGAAGAGACTGGATGGGGAGGGGTAGTGTTGCTGTGTTCAGAGGCGGCGTCGGGAAAGGCAGGTACGGGATTCTTGTATGTCTGGAGGATCTGATAGAAGATGCCTCCATTGTTGTTCCCTGTCACGGCATAGCCGCCGTCCGAGTCGGTGTCGCTAAAAGCATGACCTTCTGAACTCTCAGCATGTGCGGTTTCAGCATGTGCAGGGCGGGCATTGTGGGCGTTGAGCAGCTCTTCGGCATCGGTCGTGTGCTGGTCGACGGTGTTTTCTCCCGAATCAGACCCTTGGACGGGGTCATAGCTGGGAGAGAGCTGGGGAGAAATGGGGACTTCAACATTGGCCGAGCTGTTGAAGCGCACTCGTGTCCTACCCGTCGCCTGCTCAGGCTGTACTGAGGGTGTTGGGTAGGTTGGGGCAAGGTGGTCGAGCTCGTGAGCATCGACGTTTGTGCGATCAGATGAATGGGACGAAGTGGGCTCCATTGCGGGGTGATGGGGTGCCCGGAAGGGGAGATGGCAACGAAGAAGAGTGTGCTATAGTGTGGATCAAAGGAATGAGGGCAGATGTGGTTTGAGGGGAAGTCAAGCATATATCGGCGTGGTGCTGGGAGCTCAGGGCTTGGGCAGTGAGTCGTCGTCGGCGTTACCTCATGGGCCCAACTGCGTTTGCGGCCGTCGATGCGAACCCAAACGACCAGTGCGTCGCGGGCGCGACCTGGCGGTGGATCCAAAGAATGGATCAAGAGATGGTAGCGATGCTTGGGAAGCGCCGAAAGGAGAAGTATGTGAGCAATCTCGAAGCCAAAGGCGGCGACATCGGTCACGGGTGATGCAACGGGCCCGGCTAAAAGTGGAAATCTGTGTGTCATGGATTCGCTGATTGGCCACCCGCCACCAGCAGACGGGCTAAAGTCAGCGACATCCGACATGCTCTGTGAAAAAATCCATCTCACCACCACCCGCCGGCACACTCGCCCTCACCCCCGACTCGACGACGCGAGTCCCCGTGGGGCCTGCGACAGCGAACACTGGCCCAAATCCTACCTCGATCCCTTCTTGGCTGCGCTGCCACCGTGTCAGTAGCAAATTAGAGCACGCTCTAGAAGCATCGCTGGATCCACACAGTCCCTGATTATGGCCTCTCCGCGACGTGCCTCCAAGGGGTATGTACTAGTAGTATATACTATGTACACGGTAATATGTGTTTATGCGGTACATCTGCTATACAGAAAGGAGTGTCGTAGACCGCCTCTTTTTGCAAATGCCTTCGCCGTAACGGTCACGCGCATATAGTACGTTGCCTTGCGCAGATATCACAGCTCCCTGGCTAGGCGAATTGAATTGGCATGCGCCGTGTGTATGTACTGCCGTATTAGCGTATAGTGTATTGCTCCATATGCCTGCAGCCAAGGTAAGATTAGCAGGTAGAAAGAATACGGACAAAACCTTCTTCTCAGCAATCACCTCAACATGACGAAATATTACACAATGTCCTAAACCCATTCCATCCATCTCGGAGGCAAATCCCGCATGTTGCTGAAGATCTTTTCAGTTATCCGGAAATAGTACCTGACTGAACCAACAAACAAGATACCAATGGGAGCGGAGCCCCTGCGTCCCAGCAGGGAAGGTTGCTCCGCTAGCATGCCCATGACGCACCTCATGGCGCGTCCCGGCACTCGAAACCGATCCCGAGCAGATCGCATCTTTAGCGAGAACCCCGTCAAGAGATCATAGCCTACGCAGATCTTCTGAATGACTGACCATGTCGGCACCGGGTACTTGTCGATCCTGGTTGCTAGGTTGCTGTATCCGTCATTATCGCGTAGGCATATTTGGTGTGTTTGGTAGCTGAATATCCTAAAGCAGCTCTTCATCTCGACCTCACGTCATCCTCGTCTTGCATACTGCTGGGTTCATATACACAAGCAACTTCCTCGTACAACTCGCCCTTGACCACCAACTGAATCCTCCCCCTTTCCCTAAACCCAGCTTTTGCATAGAATGTCTCGGCCGCCTCTACAGTACTCTCCAAGTACGCGGGCACCCGTTGCTTGTTGCATGCGTCGAGGCCCCAGACAAGTAGCTTTGTGCCCACGCCCTGATGGCCATGGCTCGGTGATACGGCGATCCAGGATAGTTCTGTCGAGGCCGACATTACCAAGAGTCAGTTGGAAGCGAAACGTGACATGTATACTCACCGTAATGCCGACAATCTCCAATAGTACTCTCCGCGACTTTCGCAGCAGCAGCTCTCCATGCATTTAAAATATCCCAATCTGTTCCCTCTGGTAGATTCCAACGCGGTGCTGTATATGTCTTTTTGACACCGCTGCCTCTTTCCTCCTCTTTATCTTCCGGACAAGCGTGGCACCACACTGCAAATCCTACGATTTCTCCTCCGCCATCCGTTTCCATATCTGTAGACTGTGCAACCACCACACTCGTCCTCTCATCAAGCATGTCAGCGATTAGCTTTTCTTCTACGGCGCGTTTGAATGCCGCCCAAATTGCTGGCGTAGGATAGATGGCGCGCATAAGCCGGTTGGAAGAGAAGGCTGATACATGAATACTAGCCAGACGTGGGGCAACAGAAGGAGTCGCGGGGTAGATGCGGATGGTCATCTTGAACTGCAGGGCGGGGTTGTGGAGGGAATAGCCGTTCCGTTATATGTGATGCTTGGCCGCGATTATGGGCGATATAAACGGACGTCTGGTGCTTGACTGGTGCAGTCGTTGATAGCAGATGCCGTGGTGATGTTTGGTGGTTGTGCGAACGTCTCCAAAATGCACCGCCACACTGTTCCAGCGCGTGAGCATATATACACAGCCACCCTGCCTGACATACGAGGCAACTGAAAGCTGCCTAAAAAGCCCTGACAGCGCTGACCGTTTAAGATCGGAACATCTCGTTTCCACAGAAACATGAAAACTGTAGCTGGCTCTCCACACCATAAGCTATCTAGATAGCAAATACCTCGCTTTACTAACCGCTTGACCTAACCCGAGAAGAATTTCGACTCCTTCGCATACACCCCACCAACATCTCGGAAAGCATCATTTCATGCCAGCTCTTCACTACTAGTCTTGCTGAAGAACCATCATACAATGCTCTGTCCTACGAATGGGGCCAAAGAGACATCACCAAACCCATTGTAGTCAATGGTACCAGAGTCCAGGTTACCCCCGATCTCGAAGCCGCATTACGGCGCATCCGTCAGTCTGACTCAGAATTCATCCTCTGGGTCGACGCAGTGTGCATCAACCAGCAAGATTTCGACGAAAGGAATACCCAGGTGGCCATGATGAGCAGACTGTATTCCAAGACTACGCTGGCTTACGCATGACTGGGTGAAGAAGATGATGGTAGCGCTCAACGTACTTCCCTTATCCGCGGTTTCGTCGGTAATTTTAACAAGCGTTTTGAGGACATTGATCAATTCACTATCAAATCCAGTAGGGGCCTTTGCGACGACATAAACTGGAGGGTGTGCGCGTATGTTACACGAAATCTTCGGGATGGTAAATTGGCATTGGTCATAGTTATCTAATATCCAAGACATGGAATTGGTATTTTCTAGATCATACTGGTATAGGACTTGGATTCATCAAGAGCTCGTTCTTCCACCCAAAGTATCATTACTTTCCGGCTCGGCATCTATATTATTCAGTATGATGACGATTATTGGATACATGATCAATTCCATTCGATACCAATGCATTGAGTGGGCAGACTGTACGGATGAAACCCGTACCACTTTGTGGAAAGTTACCTTACCTCCCGCGCTTGAACTAAACGATAATTGATCTGGGGAACATTCTTGACGTAGTATCACTTCTGAGGCTATGTGAAGCTACAGATCCCCGCGACAAGATCTACGATATCTTGGGTTTTTGTGAAGGCCCTATGCCTGTCACCGTCGACTATACTAAGCCAGTAGCTCAATTGTTTGCAGAATTAGTTTCAAAACGTTGCCGAACAGTAATATTGATCCCTGCATCCCGAACCTGCCGTCCTGGACGCCAAATTCTCGCCAAGATTTCATCGAATATACCATTAAAGACTGGATTGGGGTGCATGCCCATGGAGGATGGAAAGCAAGAATATTTCCCACAACTTCTCAGTTGCTACGAACCTCTGGGTGTGTAGTAGATACCATCCAGTCAGTTGTTCAATCTCCGACTCATCAGGCGACAGACGTTTTACTCGATTTCATCGTATCCAACATCACCATGTCTCATCCAACGGGTGCTACCTTTCTCCAAGCACTTTGCTGTAATATCATCGAATATCACTCCATGGACAACTTTCAAACCCGATTTTCAATGTATGAAATCCGTACGTTCTTGCACTAGATACTAGGCTGTGGGAAGGAAAAACCCATGTTGCATTGGCGATTCCACACTTTTGTTGAACAGAACAATCTCATGGCCGTCTTTGAATCTGTTCCAGGAGAAATCTTCATGAGCTTGCGATTTGCGACAGTTACCGGAGCAATCGATCATCTGGTTGAGCCGTATAAGGACGCTAAAGATTATAGCGCTTTTCTCGCAATGTCTCCACAACAACGTATGTCGCCTTTTTGGGGGTCTGAATCATACCCCGACGCTTTCCAGGCAGATATAGAGTGGTGAATTCTTTCAAAACATGTCAGCCTTCAGTACATGAGGATGAAAACCGAACAATTAGCCAACAGAAAAAGCTTGATTGTCATAGAAAAGGGTTATATAGGCTTGGGAACCTGTGATGTTTTGGTAGGGGACGATGTTTGTATTGTCGCAGGATGTCCATACCCTACTATCATATGGCCATCAGGCAGCCGTCATCAAGTCGTTGGTGGTGGCTTCATCTTTGGATTGAGGGACTGTGAGTTATTCAGAGATGGGTACTTGACGGACGACAGTCAGGAGACTAGTTGGGCCGACTTGTGGAAGAATGTATGCTAGGCTAGACCCATTTAACAACGGTCTTGCTGGCATTGGCATGGTAAAACTCTTTAAAGGCATGAAGATCGTCCTCCGCTCAGACGGGCGAAACCCTTCTTTTTGGGTGCATTGGCTGCGTTTGACGCCTCATACCGAGATTTCCTACATTGTTTGACAAAGAACAGGGCTGGTCGCGAGCATGGAAACTGGACATACTGCCGCGCATGATCATGAATTGTTCCCGAAGAAATAAAACTTCATGCTTTGCCGTGATTTCCAAGGTTTAAGCGAGCGGTTCCAGGAGAGATTTTGTGCTGCCCCTGTTGCGGATATGAATTCCGAGGTCGAATATGCGATGATTGGGAGTAGTATGGTCTCAACGGCTGCACAAGGCCCGTGCACTCAGACTGAGGATCCTCGATCGCCATCGCGTGCGGAGACTATTGCGCGACATATTCAACGTGCCGTTCTGTGTCGGGCGATGGTTCTGTATAATCGCTATGAAAGACTAGGTTCCTCTTTCACAGGAGAAACGAGCATGGCCGTCGGATCTACTTCTCTTTGCTCTGTGGTATAGGCAGTTACAGCTTGCTATCATCGCATCGTGCCAGCATCACGACAACCTGGTCTCTGCTTTCTCGATCGCATCAGCTCTTCAGGCAACACATGCCGACCACTAAGGAAAAAATCCTCATTCGCTTGTATCCCACCGCCTGGCTTCGGATGAGGTCGCAACCGGCGCCGTGGCGTGCACTGAAACCAGGCACTTTGCTACAACAGGTTTTGCAAACACGAACAGGGGCCTGAGGGTCCCTCAGGAACCTCCGAGAGTTGAAATTACTGACATCAACATCGACCTCTAGCAGGGACGATGGCTTGGACCTGAGGTTCGAGGCTGTCAGGACATGCGGGCCGTTGCTCGTTCCGGCAAGTTGAAACCTTATTCGCCTCACATCCCTAACGCGCATAGGCCTTATGGCATCGACCAACAGAGCCTCAACACTGCAATATTCCTGCATCTGGACTTGCTACGTATTCTCCGACAGTTCCTGTCAGGCCAAGACTGCCACCGCTGGAGTTGCACTCTTGGTCTGGTTGCTGGTATCTAGCGCCTCTGATTGGACCTCGTTGCCCAGCGCCTCATTGAGCACATGGGTTTTACCCTAGCACGTTCGTGCCAAGCACCATCACTTGCGGCTAGACGGCAAAGTGGCAGCTGTAGATGTTGGAGAAGAGTGGGGAGACTACCTTTTGGTTGCCCTGTCTGGTCGCCCTGGCGCCTCAAGGCACCATGACTATGCAGAGAATGCGGCCAGGAGACCGAGATCAAACACTTGCAAGTTTACACCGACTCCACGTAATGTTTTTGCTCCCAGATGGATGTTCCGATTCGGCCTTATTCCTTAGCAACAACCCAAAGTACATATAACGTGAAAGGCCTGGCGCCTCATAGGTTTTGTCATCTCTCTCATCAAAACCGTCTTCAAGTCCCTTACCTTCTTTTCAACAGTGCCGAGCACTCATATTTTAATCATTGTTGAGCTGTGCTCTTCATTCTTTCATTTTACCATTGTAATACACAGACACTCGGTGACCCGCATCCAGTCCTTTCAGGAAAACAAAAAGAAACCGACCATTCATAATGAAGACTATTTACCCACTACTCACTCTCCTTTCGGCTGCGGCCGTAGCCGCCGGTCCTCTCCCAAGGAACGTACAGCCACTTCCGAACGCAAACCTCAAGCCTACCCGCGTCGTCGCGCGCACGCAAATGCCTGCCGAGGCTGCACCAGCACCAGCACCAGCAGCAGAAGTTGATCCTGCCAAAGCTGCCGCGGATGCTATGGAAGCGATGCATGCAGCTGAAGCGGAGGCCAAAGAAAAAGCTCATCAAGAGGCTGCTAAGCAGATGGAGGCCATGCATCAGGCAGAGGCAGAGGCAAAGGAGAAGGCCCACCAAGAGGCCGCTAAGCAGATGGAGGCTATGCACCAAGCAGAAGCCGAAGCAAAAGAAAAGGCACACCAGGAATCCGCAGCAGCTATGGAAGCCATGCACATTGCATCTGAGAAAGCAAAGGACGCTGCCCACAAGGCGTCGGCTGATGCCATGGAAGCTATGCACGTCTCGCGAGAAATGGCCAGCATCTCCATGGCCATGAAGACAGAGGCTCCAGCTGCTACTCCTCCTCCACCACCACCTGCTGCCATGCCTCACGAGCCTCCTGCCCCGGCCCCTACACATGTTATTCCCCCTCCCGCCGCCGAGATGCCACCACCACCACCACCTGCTCACACAATGGCACCCCCTCCACCTCCCGCTGCAGAGATGCCACCTCCACCTCCTGCCCACACAATGGCACCCCCTCCACCTCCTGCCGCGGAAATGCCTCCTCCTCCCCCAGCTCACGAGATGCCAGCTCCATCTGCCCCAGCTGCTGCAGAGATGCCGCCACCGCCTCCTGCTCATGTGATGCCACCACCTCCCCCTGCTCATACAATGGCGCCTCCTCCTCCTGCTGCGGAGATGCCACCTCCCGCACCCGCTCATGAGATGCCTCCTGCTGCTGAGATGACTCCTCCTGCCAAGATGTCTTCTGCTCCCGCTGAAATGCCTTCTGCTCCCGCTGAAATGCCATCTCCACCTCCCGCTGCTGAGATGCCCCCAGCCGCTGGTGGCATGAACGGCAGTGAAGCTGCACCGCCTACATCATCTGCTCCCCCTGCGGCTGAGGTCACCGAAAGCTTCTCTCTGATTATGGATCAGGCTGCTAAGGCTACTGGTGCTGCCAACATGACTGCTTCCCCGGCCATGAGCACCCCTGCGGCGCCTGCTGAAACCGGTGCTGCTGAGGAAGAGAAGAAGAAGGCTGAAGAGGAGCAGAAGAAGGCAGCTGAAGAGGAGAAGAAGAAGAAGGCCGAGGAAGAAAAGAAGGCCAAGGAAGAGGCTGACAAGGCTGCTCAGGAAGAGGAGAAGAAGGCTGCAGAGGAACAGAAGAAGCAGGAGGAAGCTGACAAGCAGGCTGCCGAGGAGGAAAAGAAGAAGCAAGAGGAGGCTGCTCAAGCCGAGAAGCCCGCTGAGGACGCTGCGCAAGACAACAAGGGCGAAGCCGAAGCCTCAGCCCCTGCCGAAGCACCTGCTGAGGTACCTGCTGAAGCGCCTGCCGAAGCGCCCGCCGCACAGGAACAGCAACAAGAAGCAGCCGGCGAAGCAACCATCAAGCTACCAGCTGGCTTCCTCACTTCCTCACGTCTGCGCCGCGCCAATCTCGCCAACGTACCCGTTAAGCGCGGCATGAAGGCTGTCGCTTTCTAAACGCCCGGTCCCCATTTTTTCTTTTTTGTGTACTTAGTATATGGGATAAAGTGAGAGGCGGGTTGATGAAGAAGACAATTAGATGTGTGTGTATGTGTGATTATAAGCACAGGACTGTTTAGCGTTGTCCGTGATGCTGGTTAGACGAGAAAGCGCGTTTAGAGAATTATTAGTGTAGCGTAGTTACTTGACCGAGTGCAATCATCCTGACTCGTGTTTCCTTTTTTTCCGAATAACAAACTTTATTCTCATTATGATCTGTTCCTTGAGACTTTGCTTGTGCTGATGGATTTGTATCTGCTGATTGGAATGAGGGTTTCGCGATCTTACTTTGGCTTGGAAGCAGGAGATGGCAGTTGATAGAAGCAGAGGTGGCCCTGGAAGTGTCTAACTGAGGTATATAAGTATAGTGTACATGCGTAGCGCTCTTGTGATTAACTAGTTTACAACTGTCTTAGTATCTGTAGGTACGTTGGATACGAAAACAGATAAAATAGCAGCGTAAGCTGCTGCCACAGCCATCATCTCGAAGCTGGTCACTTTGAGGAAAAGCGATACGAGGAATGACAGCCCAAGTATCCACGCCGCGATAATCGCCAACTGAATGTTTTTAGATGACTCGTGCGACAGAACAACCAAAGGAGCGATGAGAAACACGGCTGTAAATGCTGCGGTGAGTAGACGCCCAGTAATCTCGGCTATGAGAAGAGTGTCTGGGTACAACCATGGTTGGTAATGGTCGTAGTGGTGCTTCATCCGAACTTTGACCGGGTCTTCAATGTCCTGGGATTTCCTCAACAGCTTCCGTAATCTGAAGCGGCGTAGGGACTTGTGGAGCCAGCGCTGGAACGGATCGGTGCGCGCTCGCGTTCCGAGATCTACTCGTACTAGCCTTGTCTTGTACATCTCGCATGGTTTGATGGGTTTACGTAGGCTGAGGTCGCTATGTATGCTGGAGAGTAGCTCGTCGTCGATCAGGGAGTTTGTTTCCATCATCATGATTTTGTTGAAGGCATCTAGGGCTTCGTCTTTTTTTGATGCAGGTTTTGTGTCAGTGTGGGTAGTCGAGGTTAAGTTTAGAGACTGCGTACCATATTCTTTCAACAGATTGCGAAGCTTTTCAATAAATTTTTGAGTGATTACTTCATCGGTCTTTGGGAAGTTGAGTTCTCCTGTGCTTTTCTTGAGACCAAGCCGATTGGACGAGGAGATAGGCAAGCCGAGGCTGAGGCCGGCTTTGTACAAAATGTGGTCCATTTGGGCAATCTCATCTTCTAGGAAACGTAAATTTAGTAAATGCGTAGTTTTAAATCGACGGAAGCTGTGCAATGTGATATTTTTGTTAGCCGTGCTGGCTATCCATGCATCTTGAAAGTTGATGTGCGTGCTGATTTTTAGACTTTGGCGCGCGTTGTCTATAGGCAATTCGTCCATGTTGAAGTAGTAAAGGTGGGTGCGAAAAGGCAGAAGTTATAGGAAGGAAAATCATCTATATATTTAAAAACCCCAGGAAGTAGGTCCTTGATCCTTCATGCATGCTAATCCCAAGCCTAATCACTTCTTTGGTCATGATTCGCGATAGAAGCGCCTTGAGTAACCAACGACTAGGGTAATGTGTGGCGCAGCTATGCGGCGCATGATCCTGTGTTGAGAAGGCTGAGATAATGTAATAGGCTGAAATAGGTCGATCAGGCAGAATCAATGCGACAAGGCTGAAGCGACATTGCCTTGCTGCACACACTCATTTTCACTGAAACAACATGTCTTTTTAACATAGTACCACCTTCCTTTCAGCCCAAGTCATAACAAGTACTTTCAAGAATGGCATCTGGCAGTACGCCCGCCAGCTGTGCAGATTACCACGTCGCTTTGATATGCCCTACCGCCAACCTCGAATTCTTTCCTGCGACGCTGATGCTTGATGAGGAGCACCCAACACCGCCTTAAGATACTCATTACGATGAAAATAATTACGTATGCGGTACTATCAATGAACACGCAGTCGTTGTTGCGACTTGTCCACAGGGAGGGACAGGTAATGTCAACGCTGGCCGCTTAACTGGGCCTATATTTAAGACATTTCCCAACATTCGCATGGCGGTGCTTGTGGGCATTGGAGGCGGTATCCCCCGCGAAGAGATCCCCGACGAAGCTCTGGATGATATTCACCTTGGAGACGTGGTCATGGGATGGCCTGGTGACGACGGACCCGCGTGTGTGTACCACGAAAGGGGTAGAGCCAAGGTTGATGGGAGATTTGACATGGCGAGGACAATGCGAAACCCAGATTGGAGACTTACCCAGGCACTCAGTGTCCTTGCTAGCGATCATGAAATAGGAAAGACTACTTTCGAGGTCTAACTTCGCAGGCTGCAGCGCACGAAGCGAGCGAAGAGATTTGCCCATCCAGGCCTCGAGCATGACAAGCTCTTCAAGGCTCGATATCATCATGTCGGCAGCTATGAATCTAGATGCAAAGATTGCGATGCAAGAAAACTGGTCCAACGCCCCCAAAGAACTGAGGAGGGCCTGCAAAAGCTAGTCTTTCATCAAGGGAGGATTGCTACCGGTAATGCAGTTATTCAGAACGCCGAGCTGCATGGCAAGATTAGAGCGCGATGCGATGGAGCACTTTGTGTGGAAATGGAAGCGGCAGGTGTTGATGCGAGTAGAAGATGCCTTGTTGTCCGTGGCATCTCCTATTACGCAGATTCTCACAAAAATGATTTGTGGAGAGCGCATGCAGCTGGTAATGCGGCTGCGTTCACTAGGGAGCTGTTTTGCAGAATTCAGCCGGCCACAGTCAAAGACATGGAAGTGAAGCCTGAAGGTCAGTAGCAGGCCTTTTTAGGGCAATGGACCACGTAGGGATATGGAAATACAACTTTGAATTATCGATAAGACGTATGTGCACCATGCTAACACATTACGGCACCATGGTTTGTTCCACTACCTAGACCACAGTCCTTCGTCGGTCGCGGGAAACAGCTTGCTCTACTAAAATACCCACACAGCTTCAGAAGGCTGCTGTCGATATGCTATATACGGCCTAGGTGGTTGCGGAAAAACAGCTCTCGCTCTTGAGACAGCCTATCGAACACGAGAGCAGCAGCCTCAGCGTGCTGTGTTCTGGGTACCTGCAATCGACCAAGCGGATTTTGAACAGGCATACCGAGAGATATGACTACTACTTCGCATACCTGGCATCACAGATGCTAAGGCCGATGTCAGAAAACCTGTCAAGGCAAGACTGAGCGACGAAAATTTTGGACAGTGGCTGATGGTTGTTGACGACGCGGACGACGACAGTATTCTCTTCAACCCACTTATAGGGGGAGCGACGAGGATCAGCTGATCGACTATCTTCCATACAGCCAAAAGGGCTCTCTCATTTTTACCACCCGATTTGTAAAGGCTGCACACAACTTGGCTGCAAATAACGTCATGGAGCTAGGTATGCTCGACAATGGAGATGGAAAAGAGGTCTTGAGAACTCGCTTGTTCGAAAAGTACCAACATCTGGTCGAGGATGAGGTAATGACAGACGAATTTCTCAATATGCTTACTTGCCTCGCCCTCGCAATCGTTCAGGCGGCAGCATTCATCAACCAGAACGACATCCAGCTCTCCGACTATATACAGCTATATCGAGCAAGCAAACAACAGGCGACTCAGCTTCTCAGTGAACATTTCCAAGACCAAGGAAGGTATCGAGAAATGAAAAATCCCATCGCAACAACTTGGTACGTCTCATTCGACCAAATCACATCACGCGACAAACTAGCGGCTGACTACCTGTCATTCATGGGATGCATAGCAAATAACGATATACCCGACTCAATTCTGCCGGGCGAAGGGCCACAGCTAGAACAAACGAAGGCGATTGGAACTTTAAAAGCATACGCTTTTGTTACTGAGCCAATGTTTGCGGGGGACAAGTATGAATTTCAGCAAGCGCAGACACAAAGGCCAAAGATATCATTCAACGTCCACCCATTGGTGCACTTGGCAATGCGGGGCTGGCTGAAATCACAAAGTCAGTGGCTCAAGTGGGTAGAGAAAGAGATTGTGCCGTTTGGAGATCACAGAACAAGAGAAATGTGGACGCCATACCTGCCTCATGCCAAATATGTCATGGGTGTGCCTGAAATCTTCGAGCAAGATGCAGGGTTGGATCTGCTTGAGCGGATAGGACAATGCGAAATGATGCTGGGACGCTACAGGGTTGCGGAGGAGATACACCGTCAGCTGCTGTGCAGAACAGTCAATGTGTTTAGTGAAGAGCATCCATACATTACAGGTTACAAGAACTGCCTGGGAGTAGCACTATTCAAGCAAAATTGATACGGAGAAGCAGAAGCGATATTTAGAGAGGTAACAGTGCTACGTGAAAAGACTTTCGGCCAAGATGATGGATGGACAAGAAATGTCAAAAATAACCTAGCAACTGTACTAAGACTCCAGGACTATTTCGAAGTCGCGGAGAAGATATATCGACTGATGATAACACTGAGTGAAAAAGACTTTGGAAAGGAGCATGTAGTCACTATACTCAGTTTGGGCAACCTAGGTTTAATGTTTGCTGATCTAGACAAGAATGAAGAGGCGGAGCAAATGTTCCAAGAAATACTAGCGATAACAAAGAAAGTTTTTGGAGAGGAGCACCCCCATACACTACAGATACTATGTACAACTTAGCAAGGGTGCTACGAAGATTAGGCAGGTGCGAAGAGGCGGAACAGATACTCTAAAAAACCATTATTATTAGAAAAGAAAATCATGGGCAAGGAGCACCCGCACATTGTAAGCGCTATGGTCAGCTTAGCAACAGTGCTACGGCAATTAGGCAGGTATGAAGAGGCGGCACGTATGCTTGGAGATACTTTAGCGCTAGGAAAGAAGGTCTTAGGCAAAGAGCACATAAACAATTAGGTTGTTATGATCGATTTAGCAGGCGTGCTAGGAAATATGTGTAAATACGACGAGGCGGAACAAATGTACCTAGAAACGCTAGGGCTAGCGGTAAGGATACTGGGCAAAGAGCACTCAACAACGCAGAATTGCCTGGAAAGTTTTGTTGCAATGCTACAAAAGCTAGGTAGATTCGAAGATGCCGCATCTGTAATGGAGAAGGTAGCTTAGCTATTTTTTCATGAATGCAAAATGCGATATCAAGACAACTCCTACACACTTACAATATCAATGACCTAACTAGTTGGGATGTTGTCCGCGTCTGCTGCTTGGGGACGACTGTTGCCAGCGCTGTACTGGCGCTTGGTCGGAATGTTGTCCACATCCGCGGCTTGGGGACGACTGTTGCCAGCGCTGTACTGGCGCTTGGTCGGAATGTTGTCCACATCCGCGGCTTGGGGGCGACTGTTGCCAGCGCTGTACTGACGTTTGATCAGGATGTTGGAATCCACAGCTTCAGTTCTACCAGTCAATGGCTGCGTGGGCACGGCCACAGACAAAGCCAATAGACTCGTGAAAGTAAACAGGGTAGAGAAATGCATTATGAGTTACACTTAAGTTTTGATTGTACAAAATGGTGTGTAGAGAGGTTTTTCGTTACGGGGCGTCTTTATAGATATATTTTCTTGCAATGTAAATCCTGCTTCTTTTCGTGTGATTGCATCGAGAGCGTATAGGTGAACTGCCGAGAACTCAACTCGATCTACATTGAAATCCACACCGCAGTTTCATCGCCGCTATTATCATCGTCAAACTTCCTACCGTGTATCTCTCCATTACGAATATCCCTGCGTGCCAGAACCAACTAATCAGCTTGCAAGTTTGGGGCAGAAGCCTGTGATTCAAATAAGCTAACTGGTCGGTTCTAGGACCTAGGGATTTCCGTCGCGAACGGATACACGTTAGCATAGACATGCTGCTATTATCACTATTCATGGTGTCATGAGGGGTTGCCATCGACCCTGTAATAAAAGACGTCAATATTCTATCACTATCTCGTATATATGCTAATCTTTCCCAAAGAAGCTGCACAGGTGATAAGCATAAGCTTACGCTACTAGCGTAGTATCCTCGGCACTACTAAAAAGCCGCTGCAATCAGAAACACTTTGTAATCGCGTTTACGCATGATACAGTATCAACTGAATCTTATAGCTCAATTAAGAAACTACCAGCTACAGAGCTTAAGTTACTTGTTACAGAACAATGCTTCAAAAGCTATCAACATTAGATCTACGCAGTAATGTAAGTAACGAGATTTCTTCCATAGTGACTGATCTTTCGTGATACCAGGACTTCTGCTGAATCGGCCCTACTAGTAATCTCCTGCCGATTAGAGTGCTAAGTACATCAAATATGTGCTACTGAACCCCGGTATAGATTGTAGATCGGTCGACCAAGACGCTCCCCTTGTTCGTAGAGCATACGCGTCACGTCAGCCTATACGAGGTATCCGCATTTCAAGCCGTGTCTATCCCTAACTAAGCTGTAGTATACTATTGGCATCATCATACCAAGTCTCATGACGAGAAGGCTTAGTTATCGTTGCCCTTACGATTGGGTCCGATGCTGCTCAATCTTAACTTCTTATTTTTCTACAAACGATATCTTACATTCCACAGTCTTTGTTAAACAAGAGATTATACGCGACTTGCCGCCAAACATACTTGATTGATTAATACTATGTCAACTGTTTCTGATGATTTGCCAGATATCGCAGAGCAAGGCGAGAAATTCGCTCTCTTACACCAAGAAGAAGTATCAAGGAAGCCATCACGCTTTAAAACGCAATCATGGCTAATAGCCGTATGCGCTATTATTATTACGAATCTACTTTCAATTGTTCTTACTGCAAGATTTACAAAATCCCAGAGCTACTTATCATACTCCTTAGACTTGCCTAGAAGTACGTGTTTTCATGTCCTCGAAATATACTAAGACTAACTCTTTGAAGTGGAAGGAATTTATCCTGAACTTGACAGATCCCACATCCTAACTCAATTCAGCGAGCATCGGGTTAATGGGACAAGTAGATGGTCAGCTCCGCCAAGTCCCTCAGTGGACAGAGCTTGGCTAGAACTAGGAGTTCGCGATATTGGATTTCTTGTTCCAAAAGCAGTCGGTATCAGTCATGGTCTTGACCCCAGAGAGCAAAAATACTACCCAAAAGGAACATATCGCAGCGATTCTGAACTAGAAGGATTTATCGTGTTTGTTCAAGCCTTCCACGACCTACATTGTTTAGTAAGTACAGTTCTACCTTTACGCTATCAAAGCATTGCTAAGGTGCGACAGGATGAGCTCCGAAAAGCCCTCTACTTCAACAAACCCTACTACCGCCAGTACGAGGATGATAATCTCGTGCCGGAGTGGTTCCGTGTAAGCCATATTAGTACGTTGTTCTGAGTGCAACAATCTATGATTTTATAATAGAACAGTACTAACTTGTCCTATTAGATCATTGTCTGGACAATATTCGCGAGACCTTGATGTGTGCAGCTGATATAGGGGTGATACCAACCGTATGGACTGGGTCGCATAACAGCTCTATTAGATTTTCTAATAAGCATCAATGCAATAGTTACGATTCATTGCTCGAGTGGAAAGCGAAGTGGGATGCAGACCATCCCGCTTTCGTAAAGGAGTTACAGGAGAAGCTTCAAGCGCCTCCAGATGCAGTTTTTCATGATCCTAGCGAATGGGTGGCCTAAGTTATAGCATGAAGGCATTTCAACAACCTACCTTTCATGAACGTGCAACGTGAAATGAACACGACTTACGCGCACACTTACAAAATCAACAAAGACTTGTTTTTGAAGAAAAACATGCAATTTCGCTAAAATGCTACGTAATGCAATCTAGGATAGCGACCGTCACCCCCCGACTAAACGCCTCTAAACCCAAACCAAGAAGAACCGAATCGCTCAACGCCGTACAATAAAGATAAAAAAAAGATGGCATACTAACCGTGTGATGAGGTAAAATGAAATCGTAAACATCATTCATGAAGAGAGGCACCAAAGTACCATCTGATATAGCAAAAAGGGGGGTGGCATAAAATAAAAAGGAAAGACAAGAGCAGAGAATCGAAGATGCATGTATATTAAACCAAAAGCTATTTAGGCAAAGGAAAGAAAAAAAGAAAGGAGAAGAAGATGTCGTGAGACTAATAATTTGGGTGATATCAAATAAAAAGAAGAACATGGGGCAGAAAAGGTATCAAAGAACAATGACCAAGAAAAAAAAGAAGCGAATGGAGGATGAAACTTCAGAGTAATACAGTGTGATCATTTGGTCCTTTGAATTGGGGGTAAAAAGAAGGAGAAGAGGAGTTGGATAAAGGCAGGAAGAGGAGGGGGTAAAAACGATCCTAACAGCAATTTTCAAACTTTTGGTCCTCGCGAACCGACCCGTGTCTTCTCGTGTTCGCGCATGTAAAAATCAATAGACTGGTCAAAGGAAATGGAGTGAGAAAGGTAATCTGACAAATCATTTGACGCTTTCCTACCACCATCATTGTCATCGTTGTCGGAGTCCTCGGTTGCAGAGAGATAATCGTTGACAAGAGGATCGCGGTGTAATTTTCCAGCCCGTGTGCGGGATTGTGTTGTGTCTTTTGCTGAGCCAGTGTTGGATGTCATCTTCTTCGTCTTTGTCTCTGTTTTCGCCTTTGCACCCTTGTTTGTACATGTAACATCGCTGGATACAACCTCCATGGAATCGACTGGCTTGGAGATACTTTGATGGGAATCTAATGCGCCGATGCTGGGAGGACGGATCGTAGTATCCGACGTCTTTTCCCCCAAAGCCTTGTTCTCAACATCAGCGACGCGAACTATGTTCTTCGGTCCAACGCTTGGTATCGAATGCCGAGGCACAGATGTTACAACTTGCTTCTCTTCTTTGTGGGGCGATGCTGGGGTGGTGAAAATGGGTATCGCCTGAGGTTTGATCTCCGATTCAGTACCACGGACACTTTCACCGAACAGGGTGCCATCCTTCTCATCCCAGAGCCTCTCATCGATACGTGCTTCCTCGTCTGATGAAAACTGCAAGTCTTTGATACTCCCATCAAGGCTATGCCGTATCCGTTCGCTCTCATACGACACCCGCTCTGGTTCCCCGAACCCCGAATCTTGATGCAAAGGCATGCGGTGTCCTTGTGACCCCGAAAGACCTGTTCGCACTCGTCTTGATAGGGGTTCTGGTCGATCGAATATCGAGAATCCGGTGCTCGTCCGCGATGGAGGTTCCGTACTAGGTGCCGAGGAGTCCATGGCAACATCGTACTCGAGGCCGGCTAGTGTGCTGGAGTCGGGCTTTTGCGGTTGTTGGCTGTCATAATAATAATCTGGAGTTTCAGCGGGTTGAGGGGGTGTATGTGATGGCTGCGGCCATGATTGTGCAAGATGGTGCACACGCTCACTAAAGGAGGCCTCATTGCCGCTACTGTGAGATTGTCCTTTTTCAGACGATCCCTGCAGGCTGTTTCTCATCGACTGTGACTCAATAGGCTGAAGTCCACTTCCCATCGACAAGCCCAGTGGGGTTTCTTCGGAAGTCTTACTGCCTATGAACGAATCCTCCATCTCGCCTGGTGGACTCGCAAATCGGATGTCTTTCGGCTCCTGTGTTACAAACTCATGCACATCAAGGTCACCACAAGCTCGTTGAACAAGCTTGGTGTCGCCATCCACATAGACTTGCTCCCATCGTGTTTCCCTGCTAGCTGGTAGGCTTGCAAGTTCATTTTCGAGCTCTGAGTCATCCAACGACATGACGGATCGATGGCCGGGATAGGGCGAGCGTGAGCAGTCGCTCCGCCTATTTCTGTCGCTGATACTGAGAGGATGCGGGGAACGACCGCGCTGAGAGCGTTCGTTAGGTATGATATAGGAGCCGGAAGATTCGGGGTACTCTGTGCGTGGAACATGAACCTCTTCGAAGAACGACTGTTGTCTCGACTGGCGACGGTGGTTGGAAATATCCTCCAGGTCTACAGCTGTCTTAGGATCGATGTACTCTTTGTCGCTCCTATGCGTGGAGATGCTGTCTCTCACAGTAGCCCTTGGCTTGAAGTCGTCTTCTAGGGTATTTTCGGGGAACCGCTTGAGTAGGTTTGCGGCTGACGGTCTGGACTGGGGTGACTCGCTCAAGCATGCTCGAATGATGTCACGGAAGTAAGGCGGGATGTCAGTATCGCGTCGATCCAGTGTGCGGGTCAACGGTCGCTGCTGGCGCTCAGGTTCATCTTGCTGTTCTGCTAATGCCCAAAGCACCATACCAAGCTGAAACAAATCAGACTTGACACCAATGTATATCGATATACGCTGTCCACTCTCTATGAGCTTGGCAAGTTCCGGTGGCTCCCATCCGACCGGGCAGCCGCGGCGGTTGATATCAATGATTTTAGCGTTGTCATCATTGTCAATGACAATATTCGACAGGGTAAAATCTCCTTGTACGAAGCCAGCTTCATGAATTTCTGAAAGACCCTGAATGATCTGCCGTGCCCATCGCTCCCGGCGCTCCCAGTAAAGATGACTTGTTGTTTTGAAGTCGTAAATCATATCGACCAGTGCACCATGTTCGGCATAGCTAATCAAGAGTCCCTTGATGAGCTCGTTTCGCTGATCGACAATAACGCCTTCGAACTTGATGACAGACTTGGAATTTTGTACGCTGACAAGCGCGTTAATCTCGTAGAGGAATTCTTCGACCGCGTCTGGCCCAGGGATTTCCTTCTTGATTAGTGTCCGGTTGTTAACCGAGACTTTGTACACAAAGCCAGAAATGTGGGAGTCAAAAGCAATCGCGTCTTCACGAAATCGCTTGCAATCCAGATGCACAATCGCCGAAACAGCTGGATACGGAATGATTTCGTTCACGTCCTCTGTGACGTGAACATGGAGGCGGCCATCTGTCGTTTCAAGTTTCAGGTTTGTCACGGTGTCATAGAACTGTATAGCTGGCAGAGAGTCGCGGATGGCCTCATAAATACGCGAACTCTTGTCACGCTGGTAATGGAGAGACTTGAGATCTGCCTCAAGTGAGTCTGGTTCCATGTTTCGGTAGTCGCAGGACACTGTGACCCTTCTCCATCTGTTTGGCTCTTCGGCAAACGTCACAAAGAACTTTTCGCGGTCTGACATGTCCCGGAAGTGCATACTGAGGTTCAATATCCATTTTGCTTCCAGCTCTTCCTGCAACCGAATATCATCAATGACGGACCCTGAGTGATGTGAGCTATGCTCAGAAAAGGTATCCACTGCTTCAACAGGTGGCGGTGGCGGTAGTGATGCGGGAGGTGGAGGTGGAGATTGCGATGGTTGCGGAGGGGGAGGGGGAGGGAGAGGAGGCAGCATCAGTTCCCCAACAGAGGCGCCTGCAGACATGTAGTCTTCGGGCTCCTCGATGCCATAGTCGACCTGACGTGCACCGGGTGGAAGATTCGAATCTGGACCTCCACCTATAGTACGCTCTTCCATGACGGGGTGCGGCTCTTCTTTCACATGGCTTTCACACAAACTCAGGACGTTGGGCGCTGACATGGAAGGGGCAGAAAGGGGAGGCGGCGAAATGTCTCGTTTTGAGGGTGCTGAACTTTGTCGATCGACCGAGGCAGCTCTCCTGTGTTCGCCCGGGACAGGGACCTCGAGCAGTTTATCCCTCTTTTCACTCTGCATTCGCTTGAACGTCAAGGGTCTAGGCAGCCCTGGAATAACCTTCTTACTGCCTCTGCGTCCCAGCAAACCAGCACTCGAATGCGGTCGTGTCGGCTCTTTGTTCTTATCTTCGACGGGCTTCGCGGCTTTGGTCGACGATGGCGGCGGTTCCTGCTCCTCCTTTTTCAGCCAGGCGCCAATCTTTTGGAAGCTCAGGTGATCCCACATGCTCCTGTGCTTGCTGACTTCTGCGCGCGCTCTCTGCCTGCTGCGGCTGCTGCTCGTCTCGCCATTGTCCGCTGATGGCAATGGCATCTTCTTCTCACACTGGCTCTCGCACACGTCCCACGCTGTGCAGCGCCGTGTGGCTGGTGTCTCGGCTCGTTGCCAGCCGTCTGATGGTCGGGTGGTTGCCTTCGCGGTGTGTCGAGGACCAAGTGACTCAGACAGGCGGTGGCAGGCCTTCTATTCGTGCGGCGGGGAAATTGGCAGGTCGGGTCGGATGGATTAAAATTGTGCTATGGGTTTGGCGCCAGCTGCATGCTGTGTCGCGATCATGTGTCACTGTGGCTTCCTGCGTCCACCAACCTAGTTCGTGCTCTGTGCCTTGATGCTGCGATGGCGCATTTGCCCCTCTCTACCGTAGATTTTTTTTCTTTTTCTTTGTTTGTTTCCTTATTTTTTTCCTTCCCTTGGTGCTAATCTCTGCAACTCAATCTTGGCAGTCCCGACGTGCGAATGGCAGACAGGAAAGACCGATAGGTGTTTTATTGCCGCCCAAGCGACATGCCAGGGAGCGGATTGGCGCCTAACCTTAATCAAAGGCAGGCGGATGACGGACGGAATCTCCAGCGACGGGCTCGAGTCAATGGGGCTGTCGAGGGCAGGCGGACAAGCAGTCGTCGATGGTCGGGGGGCTGGGGAGGGACGGGAAAGGGGAGGGCAGGCAGCGATGAATGCGACGTGCGACGATGAGTCTGATGTGAGTTGGGATGAGTGCGCGACAGAAGGCTGGGCTGGTGGCAGCCAATGAATGCGAACTGAGGGCACGACTTTCTCCGTCGAGCCGGCTTAGCAACACCACCACGTTAGCGTATCCCGACCGACTCAGCAAATCAAATACCCCAGGGCCAATCTATTGGCACCTTGCACAAGCCTGCAGTACCGGTACCAATGTAATCAGAGTTGCACCAAGGCAGGGGAGAGGCTGAAGGGGGCGGCGAGGGAGCGAACGGGGGGGCGAGGAAAAAAAGTGAGGGCGGATTTCAGCAGCAAAAGTGCGCAGCAGCATAGCACCGTTTTGGGGGTTGCTGTCATTGTCGTTAGACAGCTGGCGGTCAAGCGCTTGTTCCGGCCATTGGGCCACAGCAAAAAAAAAGAGGGCCCTTTTCAGCCTGCAGCATGCGCAGCACGCAGGCAGACAGGCAGCCAGCAAAAGTCCGAATTCGGGTACATTTTGGTCAAATCAAGCGCTGGTGAGGCAAAGAAAAGCCGCCTGGTACCGCCGGCTCAGTGCCTGATTGGCCTATGGCGTGCGTGTGGCAGCCAACTACACCAACCTGCGGTGAGAGGGACACACTGTTTGGCTTTTTGGCATCAACGTCACTCACGCCCTGACTCTCCGGCACCTCCCTCTGGATGCATATGACAAGCCTGCTGCTGCTACGAGAATCTGCGTTGAAGAACTTTCACGGACTACTACCCCTCTGGCGCCATCCCGCCCCCTCATTAATCCTTCACATTGGCATAGCAGCAAAAAACCCCTCTTTCGGGCCTGCATACATTAGCCCAAGCAGAGACGAGGGCCAGACTACTGCACCTCGAGGTCTTCGCGGAATCGTCCCTCGATGCTGACTGGAAACTCTGCATGCAACTGCCCTTGCTCCTCACCCAACAGGACGCAGAGCCAACCCTTTTCGATGCGTCCCGAGTCAACCGGACGTGGAAAGACGGGACAACTCGCCAAAGGTGCCTAGATAGCTCCGTTCTTGTGAGCAAACTTCTCAACGGCAGTTTCAGGATGCTTGCGCGAAAGCAGGTACAGGGATGTGTTCATCTCACTTTCGTTTTTTTCCTTCTAGTAAGTATTACATAGTACAGCCTACACCGGTGTCTCCTGCTGCATTGGTTCCTTAGTAGCCTTATCAGTGGTTAATATACCTATATATATATATACATATACACACGCACAGTTTATGTACGTGTATTCACATGCAATAAATATGCCACGCTGCGCCCCAACAAAAAATTGTGCAATTCTCTCTTCATAGCTCACCTTTGAACAAAATGACGACAACCTCGTTCATAGTACATTACCACTACAAGCACAAATCTCCGGCACCTATGACAGCATCCTTCTCCCTCGTATCGACCAGACACCAAAGATCGAGAGATTGCCAACCTTGATTCGTGCCCTCTAGTTCGCAGAGTATGCGTTGTCTCTTCCCGTCACTCTCCCTCGTGCAATCTGCCCGTCTGCCAGCTTACCTGCCGTGTGTCCGCATCATCCCTCCTGACACGTCAATATGGTTCATGCCCACGCAACGCATGACACTTGCAGCATGCAGGGCCACGCCACGCCACGCCACGCCACGGCATGCCACGCAGTCTCATAACAAGAGACAAAAGGGAGCCGTGCGAACCAACGCACAAATCCAAAACAGATAGATATCCGATGCGGCTTGTGCGATGATGGAGAGTATAAGAATAAATCAAACCAATGATAGGTCTATAGAGGAACAACGTGTAGTCGCATGTGGGATAAGATGCTACGAGTAGTCACTGTGCGGCGGTTGGCGCGCAAAATCGTGTAAAATTATTTGTTGCAAAATCCAAACCGCATCGCCTTCGTACCACCAAGACTAGATTTGCGAAGTTGACAAACAGCGATGTTGCCTGTCACAGCATTGTGCGAAAAAAAAGGTACGCCTTGTACATTTGTAGAAACGTACCGGGTAACGGGCCGACCCGCCTTCTCTTCGTCTTCTTCATCTTCTCTCGCCCGTGTTTCTAGCAAAATTTAGAGCAAAACGTCATCCATTCTCTTTTGCATAAAAGGTAAAACAAAACAACAATTGAAGCCCACTTTGCATTGATGTAGAGAAGAGAATTTCATTCATCGCTTCATTACCCAAGATGCAGTCGAATTCATAGCCGGCCCGTATTCTTCATGGTCCAATGCTTTGTCAAACAGCATCATTAAAAACGCCTAGAATGCGCTTGCGTTGCTGCAATCCCATATCTCACCTAGTCACTGTACATATCTTACATCTACGAGTCTAGCTTAGTCGTCGTCATCGCCAGACTCTTCCTCCTCCTCCTCTTTCCGCTTTTGCTCACGCTTCTTGCGGTCGCCCTTCTTGGACTTTAGTTCCTTCTCCCACATCTTGTTGGCGGCTTCCTTGTCAAGATCGGGGAACACAATGTCAAATACTTCCCGGTACCATGACACGGGGCGGCCCTCAATGCCTTCTTTAATGTTCTGTTCGCAAGTTAGCCAATCATGCTCTCCTAATGCAGATAAGATAAGATACATACCTCCGGTAGCTCGAGCCAATCACTCATATTATCGTGTGGGAAAATCACTGTTTTTGCACCTGCCCTTCGTGCTGCGACAGTCTTTTCGCGTAATCCACCTATTCTCAATACTTTTCCGGTAAGAGTAAGCTCGCCAGTCATGGCAACGTCGTCTCTAATCTTTTTGTTGAGTGCTAAGCTGAGCAAGCTGGTAGCCATCGTGATACCGGCGCTTGGCCCATCTTTGGGAGTACCGCCTTCGGGGCAGTGCAGGTGTATCCTAGCATGTTCGAAGAATTTGTTCTTTGAGAAATCGCGGGCCATGATGCTCTTTGCGAACGAGTAAGCAACCCCAGTCGACTCCTTCATAACATCTCGGAGTGAACCACTGCGCTCGAGACCAGGTGATGACGAAGCGGACAGCGCATTTTGCAGGATAGATTCAATGTAGAGTGCAGAGCCGCCCATGGAGGTCCATGCTAGACCCATGGCTACACCAGGTGGCGTAAAGTCGTATAGGCGGTCAGAAGTAAAAATTGGTGGGCCCACGTAATCTTTGAGATTGTCCTTATTGATTGAGACGTGCACTGAATCTGGTACCTTGAGAGCTACGCGGGGCTTTTCGGTAGTCTGCTCCTCGATGTTCTTTGGGGTCTCCTTGGGGTCGTTCTCGTTCTTGTTTGATTCCTGTTGCGCAGCCTTGCCCTCTTCAGTCAAAGCTGCGGTCTCTGGAAGGGCCTCCTCGCCCACATCAGTGACAATCTTCAAAGCAGACTTTCGGTAGACCTTTTCGATATGCTTCTTGAGATTTCGCACACCCGACTCACGACAGTACTTGTTGATGAGCTCGACAATTGCATCTTTCTCAAGCACAACGTCGGCATCCTTCAAACCGCTCATTTCCTTGGCCGCAGGAGATAAGTACTTCTCAGCGATTGCAATCTTCTCGTCGGAAACATATCCCGAAAGCCGTATTACCTCCATACGGTCAAGAAGTGGTTGCGGGATGGTCTCGTCCATATTGGCTGTGCACACGAAAAGGACTTTGGATAGATCGACAGGCACGTCCAGGTAATGGTCTAGGAAGCTGTTGTTTTGCTCTGGGTCAAGTAGCTCAAGAAGGGCAGATGCTGGGTCACCATGGTTGCTGTTCCGACCAATCTTGTCGACTTCATCAATCAAGACGAGTGGGTTCTCAGTTTGACATTTCTTGAGAGCTTGAATGATACGTCCAGGCAGTGCACCAACATATGTTCTGCGGTGACCTTTGATTTCTGCCACATCGTACATACCACCGACACTGAAGCGGTAGTACTGGCGGTTTAAGGCGCGAGCAATTGACTTTCCAATAGATGTTTTGCCCACACCTGGCGGTCCAACCAAGCAAAGGATTTTGCCTTCAACAGTGCCGCGCAGTTTACCGACAGCGATGAACTCCAGGATGCGGTCCTTTACATCTTTTAAGCCATGGTGGTCTTCATCTAGAACTTCGCGCGCATGTTGAATACCAAAGTTTTCGGCGCTACGTAAACCCCAAGGAAGCTGTGTGAGCCAGTCAAGGTAGTTGCGGGTTACATTGAACTCTGATCCGTTGGGCTCGAGGCCTTGCAACTTGCTCATCTCCTCCTCGAAGACCTTGCGCACGGCTTCTGGCATAGCCAGCTTATTGGCCTTTTCGTTGAACTTCTCAATCAGCTTGTCTTTGCCGTCGGACTCAATGCCGAGCTCACGTTTGATGCCTTTCATTTGCTCCATCAGCATGTATTCGCGATGCTTCTTCGTAACTCTGGCGTTGACATCGTCTGCGACCTTCTTTTGCAGTTCCGCGCTGATGAGTTCCTTCTTCAGAAGCTCTAGTGCTTTGCTCAGCCGCTTTTCAATATCCATCTCCTCGAGCGCGTCTTGCAGCTCGTGCGACTCGGCTTGAGCTACAGCAGCTGCAAAATCGGCCAGCTTGACGGGATCCTCGCCAACATTCATGGTAGTATGTACAGAGAAGGTCGAGACATGGTCTCGGAACAGTGGGTTCAAGAGTGCGACACCCTTGAAAGTGTTGACAATCTCGTTGACCAGCACTTGGATTGTCTTGTTTGACTTTAGGTCGAAGGGCTCTTCAACCATGTTGTCCACGTCGGCGATGCTGACCTTGCGGCCTTTGAGAATGGTGGGGACCAGGGCGCCTTGGGCCGTCTTAGTCTCTTCGGTGGACTCTTCGAAGCTGGCAACGACGTCGCCCTTGGATTGAGTCGCAGCTGCATCGGTCTCTGATGTTTCAGAACTTTCGTCCAAAGTACTCTCAGCTACTGATGGCTCCTCCTTGGCTTGTGCTGGCGGCTTCAGACCCGTCATCTTTATGCGGCGGTGCGGGTAGAGAACGCAAGTCATGGCGAAGTTGTCATCGGCGCCCACGGGGAATGCGCTTGTAACCTGACAGAATGTGCCCACATCGTAGACCTCGTTGGGGTCGTCGATAACGTCCTTGTCAGCGCCCTCATCCTTGAACATGAAGGCTCCAATGTACGGTTGCCCCCGCTTGACCATGTCGGCGATTGCCTGGCCGACCTCTCTGTCTCTGATTGTGATAGCCTTGTAGAAGCCAGGGAACAACGGGCGCTTAACGAGTGGTATCGCCATGACTTGTGGGTAGACGTCTGGTATCGTGGGCTTAACGAGGGCGCGTTCGGAGCCCTTTCGCTTCTTGCCGCCGCCATCACCACCGTCACTGCCTCCGGTGCCTCCACCTGCTGCGCTGCCTCGCCCGGAACCGGTGCGCGGGGGTATTGGTTCGGGCGTGTCACTCTTGCCCTCGACCTCTCGGCTTCTCTGCTGCTCTTTGAGCTTCTTTAGCTCATCCGTCTCTTCGGCTGCGCCCTCGTCCAGTGGTTCAGGTGGTGTCTTGGGGTCTTTTTCCTTTTGCTTGCTCAGCGACGTGGAGAAGTTGCGGTATGCGAAGAGGGCGGCGGGTGGCGAGGGGCATCGGTGGAGTGGCCGCGCAACCAGCGATGCTGTGCATTGGGCGGGAAGATATCGTGATGATGATCTGGTGGTGAATTTTGTACAATTCGAGCGCGATGCCTGGCGGAGGGCTGCCCGCCACGGCAGGTTCTGGCTCTGGAACATGATATGCTTATGTTATGAGTGCAGCCAGGCGGCAGAAAGTCTTATGTGTGTATACAAGGAATGAGAGTAGTGTGCGCGGAAACACGCAGCACACGTGTTCTCGCCACGTGAATTGATGCAAGGAGAAGAATACTTAAACGATGTGCAAATATAAAAGGCGATGTGGTAGTGGCGGCATATGTATGGTCTACGCATCAATTGATCAGCAACGTCGGAATCTCGACATCATCACCGCACGTCCAAGCTCCTCCGATAGCCGCGATGGCAAAACCTCGGCACCACGCAACACTTGGATTCCATCAGCTCACACCTGCTCTACTACCCATCTTTCTATTTATGTACATTCCTTATACCACATACAACTATATAGACATCAACACACCTCTCCGCACATCTCACCCTATCCAGCGCCTCTGTGCACTATACTCTGTTATCCTCGATCGCCATGTCCGTACCTTCGCCGCGATGACAAAGTCCATTTCCAATGCTGTAGAACATTCTCGAATGCCGCCCGCTTCTGCAAAGAACAGCTGTGCAAACTTCCCCAGTCGCTCAAACCCACATACTACATACACTACATTCAATCGATCCCACACGCACAAGTTCTTGGGACTTTGAATTCTATCCTCAAATATATTATGAAATCTATGCTCCTCTACATATCTGTCTGTCTTCTACCCAATGGCAATGCCCTCCGTCTCACCCACCAAACTCAGAAATGACACCGGAGCTAAATTCGCAACCATTCGTCCTATTCAACAATTTGATCATACGACTTACCTCTCCAAAGGTGCTGAAGCCGTCCTAGGTGGTTTTCATAGTGCCTAGAGATCTAGCTCACGACTCAAGCTTTCAGACTGATGCCATTTCCCACCACTAGACAAAAGCTGCTTATTCCTTTCCTCCTTCCTTCTTGCATCGCTCTCTACCCACGGTTCCAATCTCTTGAGTTCAGGCTTACTTAGTAGTTTCCGAGCCGCGCATTGCGCTATCTTCAGCGTCAGGTGACGGCGCGGATGGTCGCAACCTTCTGTTCAGCCGTCTTCTGCAGGGGCTTGCGCCGAGGAACCCGTACTTCCCGATTGTTAATCTTGTTCCAGATATCTGACGCGATTGGTTCCTCAGCAGCATACTCAACATCTGCTGGGTTCACTGCGTTAACATTTCGCATCGTGCCTGCTCCAAGCGCACGGTACATCCGCTGATCTTAGGAATGCTCGACAGTGTTATGTCTTCCATGATTATTCTCATCAGCCACCTCGGCTGTGATGAACACTCGCTCCGACGGCGCGAGTAGGTCTTCTCCAACCTGGTGTTCAATATCTACGCGAGGTGCTACTGGATTTGTGACTGGCGTCATGTTCGCTAGTACAGGGTAAAGATGCCCATATGACCGACTGCTGGGATGCACATTTATTGGACGCCCAATATCCCGAAGTTCGAAACTATCGCCTTGGTTTTGTTCGTTTTTTTAGCATGTTGTACATGTTCCTCGTCATAGCACGGGAAAAACTGCCGCTTGTACTGATGGTAGCCAAAGTAGGTTACTAGCCCTGCTATCACAAGTGTCATGAGGACGAGTACCGTTATGAGAACCCATGCATTCATGGTTGAAGAAGGGCAAGCGGTAGCTGGATCCAAGACTGGAAATGCTTCTGGATTGATGTTTGTTGCTATGTGGGGGAAGCATCGACCACAGGAAAAATGTTTGCTTATTATAGTAAATTCACAGAAAGGACGAAGTTTCATAACTTGCAGTGTGGCGACTATAGCCAGCGCTCCCCTTCACAATGTACCAGTAACAATGCTGTTGTCTCAATCACATTGCGGTAGTTCACAAGAGCAAGACATTGTGTGAAATCCGTGCGGACGCCTTCAGACATGTCGTCCATAGTTAGGATTCTCGCTATTCTGTGAGAGGAATATGCTGTTGCATTGTACCAGGTTTAGCAGTTCTCATGAGGATGAGCTGATCGGTTTACACCTTTTGAACCCAGAAGATGCTTTGGTGCTATTATCGTACTGGAACCGATCTATGCAAGATGGTTATAACTGGGGAATATTTTGGTAAGAGTCATATTTCCTCGTGTGCACAAGATTGATTTGGCATCAAAGAACAGCATATGAATTCATGAAAACTTCTCGAATACCCAGATGTATCCATTGTTGCTATTTGAGAGTCAAATGAAACCACATCATTTCCTCTGGAGAAGCAAAATACCAATCGAACTATCAACGTCAATTCAATACAACTTGGCATCCGTAGCATCAGAATCTAGAGCATGCTCCAAGCAAGGCTGATACGTCTCTCCTTTACTCATAAGCCCTGCTACCACAATTGATTCGCATCCCCAATACTTTTGAGTTGACCATCGAAGTCGCATTGAAGTCATGGAGAATAAATCATTATCGTATAGCTATATGACTGCTGCCACCGAAAAGTGAAAAGAGATCGCAGTATAATCGCCGCTCTTGGTCACGGCGGGTGAAGCCGCCACCGCAATCCGGCTTATAGCTGGCTTTCTTCCCGCCCGCTCCCCAGTCTTTCTCCCCTTTCGGATTATAACTTTCGCGTTGAACATCAGTTGATTTTTCTCATTCTAATCAACAATTAAGCTATTAAGGGATTCTCATAAAACAAATTTTGTAATGCACAGCCAACTCTCACTTTCTTTGACCGGTTTCCTCGAAAAGGAGGCAGATAAAGAACGCAAGAACCTTGCTAGTGCCAGTGACTGCGAGACACAAGAAGACCCAAACCACCAACTCTATGATAGTCACCGCCATAATACTCGTGAATATCAGTGTGCCCGCGATATAATATATACCCCAGGCCATTTGAACTGGCCAGTCCTCATCGGCTCCCTGAATAGCTGAAACCACCTTGCCTTTGTCACATTCTACGGTAATCATTGTATTTTTTGCTACTGCTGGTCGACTTTCGTGTACTGGGAGTGGAATCAAATGAATATCGTCAGGCCGAACACCAATCCGAGCTTCTCTTTCTTGATCCAGTCTCTTGATCCGTGCTTGTCTCCGTCCCGCAAAGGTTCTGTGGATTGATGCTGGAAGTAGAGCGACGACATACCAGGCGGTGATGAAAAAAGGAACAACGCAACCGAGCGCAGATCTTTTACTGTATATTTCGTTGAACACCAATGCCGCGTAGCAGGCCAAGAGGCACACAGCAAGTATGACTACCATAAAGCGTATGGCTGACCTTCTCATGTTCCACGCGTATCCTGCCAAGCCGTTACTTTCTTCGTTTCTCTGATGAGTCGATAGAAGGGCTCCTTTTTCGGCCGGTAGCGGTACAAGACCCAAAGCCAGGACTAAGATATCGCACAGCCATGGCAGGGGCTTGGTAATGTGTACAATACGGCGCTCTGGCCATGCGACGTCCTTCAAAGTCAATGGTATGAGACCCATGACCAATGCTGTGGCTGCAAACTGTTGCTTCCGGCTTTCACCACAGGACTCGAAGAGACAATCTGCAGCGGTCCAGCAACTTTGTACGTCATGCTTGAACTTATCAAACTTCCAATATGGTTTGAATGGTGAATAGGCCATGATAGATTCAACATTGTCGGGACATTGGCCGGTTCCAATGCGGTCGCTTCCCGTTTCGCCGGCGGCTGCTATTACATTTACTTGAAAGAAGAGGATGAAGAGCAACGTTCGCACTGTCTTCGTCATAATGCGGTATCTTGTACTGAGATCAATTCAATAAATACGATGAACCGTGGATGCAGGAACCAAGTGGTGTTTAAGCCAGTCTCAGCCTGACGGCTACATGGCTATTTACGTGTCTTGATGCCAAGCATTATCCAATACTTTGTGCATATCTAAGCCTCATGTATCACTCCATGCTGGTTGCCAAATACCATGTGGATTTGATTTGCAACACCAGCGCGAGTCATTGTCCTCAAGCGCATGAACTGGAAGCAGCCAAGCTGCAAATGGAGTGTGGGGGCGAACACACAAGGCTGAGCAAAAGGCAGTTGGCTCAATCGATAGGTACGGCACGATGAAATGTGTCATTTGAGGGCCCTCGAATGAAACGAACTCTTCATGTTTTGTATTCGAGTGATACACCCCTGGTACATGCGCCTCCATTATGGCCAATATCAACAAGGCGTGTCCGTCACATCGTGAACATCTCATTTCGGCCTAGCGCTGGGGCCAGAAATCGCATTCAGGAGGAGCCCTCAGAACTCAGCAACCCACCAATACAAATAATGCATACTCTTTACTGATTCTATTACTAATGTATACCACAGAGAGTTGCTTTTCATGTTTCCGCACTTACTAGAAACGCGATATGTACAAAGTTGTAGAGGCAACATATGATGGGATTAGATGGACACTCACAGCGTGGTTGAAGAACGAGGCAAAGACAAACAACTTGGACATGAAACCACAAAACATAGCTCGGACTGCAGTGAGCTTTTAGTGGCACTAAGAAAATGCGATTGGGTTGATATTTTTATATACTATGTATGTATCTTCCAATCAATCATGATACGCAAATTTCCTTCTACCACTCCGAATCTCTTCATTGGCATACCGAAAAGACTCGACACTCGCAGCAAAGAGAACATTGGGATCCCGACATTGACGTTCCACCATCCCATTGATGACTTTTTTCCCTGCCGAATTGATCCTTGGTTCTTCGATGGTCGGGTCGGCATTGCAAAGGATCGTCTGAGGGGGATGTTAGCGGACATCAGTCACAAGATGGAACAAAGTCCAGCCCAAAGAGCCTTACTTGACGTAGATAATCAAAGCAATGTTGCCAATGCTTATCACTTATTCCAGTTTCAGGGTCTCCGTGCCCATGGTCGTGACGTACGTGGATGCGCGCAGAATTGGTCTCCTCTTGCAGCCCTTGCACAACGCTTCGGATCATGGCGAGGCAGTGTAGCTGGTGGAACATGCTGACACCGTATTGATCCAACTCGCCTTTTGCAGATGGAAGGATTAGAAACCCACCGTTTTGGGGGATTAGGTCATCCCAAAGCAGATCGTGGACGTGTGCCAGGCTCTCATATTCTTCATACCTACCAAAGGTAGTGCTTGATTCAGCAGGGCAGTTGGACACAGACGGGCGGAAGTTTGGAGATCCTGGCAATGGAATGCATAGAGGAGTTTCGACGTGGAAATACGCGAATGTAGACGATATTGAGTCTTTGATGTAAGGTTGAGATGTTAAGAGAAGAACAAAAACGAGGGAGAGGATACTAAGAATGAGGAGGTGCAGAGGTGTCTTCAACACTTTGGCAAAACTTAAATTTTGCATTATATCATAACTAGCACGATGAGGACGGCTAAGAATCTCTCATTTTATGTTTTCGCAATGCTGATGATAAAGAACGCGATGATGTCCCACTTATCAAACGAATGAGGGCGGGAGGATGAGTTGTAACCCTTGCAAATGTTTCGAACGCCGATCACTTATCCGTCAATGTCGTATTTAGGAAATTTACGCCAAAGCATAGATTTAGAATATGGCTTAGTAAACGTGAAAGGTTGATAAACCCTGAATAAGCCCCAGTCAGCTGTGCATGGGTTAGTAAACGCGCGCACATTAGCCTCTGTCCGAGAAGCCTCGTGCAGCAGATCAGTAGGCGCCTGACACAGGGTGGAGTCTACAACTAACCATAATAGGTAATTTGCAAAACCCCTGTCTTTCAGTCGTTTCTTCTTAGACATTTGCCTATTTTGATGTGATTATATCCCTGGATGAGGCATCGTTTTGTCAGCTTATCGTGTTGCTCAACTTGACTTAAGTAACAATGCCAATGATCCTAATCGGCAATTGACATGCAAATATGGTGATATTGCGTAATCCTACTCTAGATATATCCAACCAAAATCGACAAAGAAGTTTCTACCTTTACTGTAGGCTAGATCCATGCGCCCGCTAGATGTTTGTGGTATCATTGTGCTGCTAACGATTATGGACCAAGAATGACCAGTGAAGCTTCGAGCACAGTGCTTATCAATTCGACGTGCGGCAAAATCCATAAAATTGCCTTCAAAGGCCGAACACGACAGCAATTGTAGTGAGTCCGGTTTTGATATCGATGAACACTAACTTCCTCGCGTCATGTTACAAAAAACATCCCTTTTCACAGCCATTGTTGGCTTTGCGATAGCTGCATTGATCACATGGGCGAAATACCCTGCTCTTCATGAACTGGAATTCCAAGCGTTGTTCTGGGATCCTCTTCAGGTGTCTGCCAAGCCCCCAAATGATACACTGCACCAGTATCAGGTCCACGTACTCTCTCGCGAGCCATATGTTGTTTACATCACCAATTTTCTCTCCCAAGCTGAAATCTCCTATATTTTATCTCTCGGGTAAGTCTACGACGAACGTCCCATCGCAATGCTAACTGACAAGTTAAGGGAGCCCTTGTTTGCCCCATCGCTGGTAAAGACTGGCTCTGAGGATGTATCTACACGTTCGTCAACGTCGGCATTCTTGCCCACCAATGACAAGATCACATCCAACATCCAAGCTCGAGCCGCTTCATTCCTAGGCTCATCGCCATATTCGGACATTGCACCATTGCAGTTGGTTCGCTACGGGCCCACGCAACACTTTACGTACCATACTGATTGGTCACCGGAGCCCCGGCGCTCTAAGTCAGGATCACTCTATCAGGTTTATTCGAGTTTCTTTGTCTTTTTGCAGGCCGAATGTGAGGGCGGCGAAACTCACTTCCCATACTTCGAAACCCAGGGCTGGGGCCTTGAGGAAGGCTTGGTCGCCAAGACTGAGGCAATAAGAGGACTAGGTACAGCCTTTCGACCCACAGTTGGTAATGCAGTGTTCTGGTTCAATCTCCACACGAATGGCACCGGTGATGATCGCACGCTGCATGCAGGGTTACCTGTGCAGCAAGGTATCAAAACGGGGATGAATATTTGGAGCCGGGTTTTATGGGAAGAGTGATAACAAATTGGGATAACAATGTGAAATAGTAACATGTACTTCTATCATGAGATGATTCAAGTCTCGTCAACGGGGATACACTCTAGTGACTTCCCAAATGCACATTCTCCTGCTCCATCCACTCTTCAAATCCTGGCATCGGTGGGTACACATACGTACCTGGGGGAGGGCTTTCAGGACTTCCCGAGGTAAATTCCTTGTCTGTGACAAATTCTTTAGCCTGCCACTCTAGCATTGCTTCATGGCTCCTGCATTGTCGGTTGACAGCGAAGTCTGGGAAGGGTCCTGGCTGACCCTCAACCCAAATGTAAGTGTAGAGATCTAAACTTGGATAGCATGTGAAATATTGCAACAAGATAAGTAGGCAGTGATCCCTGTGCGCTTCGTGTAGCAGCGGCATCACGGGTCCTAGCTCGGCGGCATAGTAATGATCGTAGTGGAGATACTTCCGGATGGCGTTCAAACAATGAATGTTGTGCTGGACATCCAGCGAGACTGCGTACTTGTCGTCGCCAAAACCAAATTTGGGATCAATCTTGACGGTCTTATCTGGGTCTTTGCCGAGCTTCAAAAGGTCCTCTTTGCTGATGCCCCAAGAGGATACCTCAGAAAGTCTGTGCCACGCCTCATCCGTCTCTGGTGAAGGAGGGCCGCGAAGTGCGTTCTTGGGTACGTCAAATAATGTTCCGTTTACGGTTTTTGAAACCAGAGGCGGTTCAAAGTACTGGCGTACTGGTTCTAAAAATGAACTTGGTAAACATGTCCGTCCTACCCATCTCGATTCTTGGTGTGAGCGCTTACCGAAGTGATAATTACTGTCCGTTCTCCAGTAGTCTGAAGGTGCTTTTGAAAAAAAGACAATACCAGCAATCATGAAAGCAAGTGAGCAGCAAAAGAGTAGTGAGTTGATTTTCATGCGCCATTTGAGCTGAAGTTGAACATTGATAAGGCCAGGGTTTTGAAGAATTTCAGCATCCTCATCCATCGAAGTCTGCTGCATTAAAATGAGAATGTAGCTGTATCTCATGACTTGACGTTCTCACCTTTGCGACGAAATGCTCTGTTTCGGATGCCTCAAGAGGTTGATATGATCCCATTGTATGTAGCTTAGATAGTTTACCACTGGGTGTGTTTTAGACAAACAAAAGTTCGTTTCCTGAGTTGTGACCCGATGGCCAGATGTTGTGCAGGAGATTGGTCACAATGAAAGACGTGAGTAGTTTGGAATTCAAATCAGAGTAACTGTACATCGACGAAACGCTGTATTGCTCAACCCCTAAAATTAAGGAATTTCCCACAACAGAAGATTGCCTAAATTGAGCATTGTCGAAATCAGAGAATTGCCCAAATGAGGGCATAAAGTTGCGTATTGACTGTCAGCAAGCGAGGTGTTGCTGATCACGGAACTAACCACATTGCGGAGACCTTGCAGGCCATCTCGGGGGAGTGCGGAACCACGTAAAGCTACGACCACATCAGCAAGCAATAGCTGCGCTTACCAATAAGAGCTCTGTTTAGTTAGACCATCTGCGATACATGCTCACAAGGGACATCAGTTTACAAAACTGGATAGAGATCAATGCCTACAAATGGAGAAAGTTGCGCTATTACTGAGACGTAACCGGGCGGAAGAAGATCAGATAATCATGTGGCTTTGGGCATTTGTAACACAACAGGTGGCAATGCATGCGTTCGCAACTAACCCGAAAGCGCAGCTCGGGATTCAGTGCGGAAATACCGGCCGAGGATCGAGCATACGGTTCTATCGTACACTCAGCGTCTTTGAAATGAAGTATAAGTATCACAGAATTCGTCAACATTGCACCACATCCCACGGCTCAGATTATCACAGCATCGCATCACCACCAAACACTCCACAACTTGCAAAAGTCTTAAGCCTAACAGTACAACGCAAGTATGAAGTTCTTCGCAACTATCGCTCTTCTCATTGCTATCGCCATGGCTGCTCCCGCCGCCGACCCCGAGGCCGTCCCAGCCCCCGTTGGTAAGTACCGGGCAGACTAGCAGCATTTCTAAACTAAAAGCTAACACATCGAAGCCGAGAAGTTTGTCGATAACGTGCTTCAGCGCGGACCTTATCCTTACCTCTACGAGAACTAGGTTCTCGTCTTCTCATTTGGACGGTATATGGCCTATTGGATCCCATTTGTATGGAAGGATATGTTGTTCAGGATTTTAAAGTTTTCAGTAGAAGGGGACTTGGTTTGGCATGTATTCCCAGACTAGACCTATACCTAGGCAACAAATCAAAGTTCTTACTGAAACATTGGATGCCCTTGACAAGTCCTTCGATGAGTTCCTTTTGCATTTGTAGAGATCGTCAATTTCAAGCGATGCAACCCTGCCTCAGATACTTGTGATGGGATCCCATCGAAATACATAGTATCACGGGTATTGTAGTTTATTCTTGCACAGCATAAAAATTTCTGGTCTCCGGAGTCACTAGTTGTGAGATGGGGATTATGAGAGTTGCAAATCCAACGATCTACAAAGTTAGAGAGCATATTGCTCTTCAGCGCATTGGCGACATTCACAACAGATGAGAAAGATATCACGAGCGCTCATACGCTAGTTCTCAATTTCTGTGAATAGCCGCTTGTTTACTAGCTGCAGCAACCATGACAACAAGATAAGAGGCACTATTCTCTTCTAGGAAATGGCAGGGTGGCAAGCATGAGTATGTCAGCGCTTGCATATCCATAGTGGCTGCTATGATCAGACTGGAGAATTCCTAATATAGGTTTTAGTAATCATGTTGTTCAAATCATGCATCATAAGTAATCAGCGACGTGTCATCTGCGCATTGTGATCAATGTTACATGTTCGTCATTTATGTACATGTTAACTTTTCTCACTCCTCGTTGTAAGCGTCTTAGCACAGCTCTCCACTGCCAAAGCACCCAGTCGTACGGACGTCACAACACGCGGTTTATCATGGATTTCTTGACAAATTATAGACGAAATGTTTTCAAGCGGTACAGCCAGGTATCGGGCGAAGACGCGGGGTCGGAATTCGGTGAGGAGAACCACAAGGCGAATGATCATGCGAATCTTGGCCAAGAAGAAAGGTCTCGTGTCTGGGTAGTGCTAACATGGTTCTTTGCCTTGATGTCTACGTACCTTGTCTTCAAAAATTGGGAACTACGAAATAACAATGGCTTTGGCACATACGGTGGTGGATTCGATACGGAGTTTTGTAAGGGCCCCTCCATCATGTTACCCCTTATACTAACTTAAGATTACAGTGCCAGCTACACGAGCGATCAGGTCTATCAAAACAAGGTTCTCCGGTAGCCCGCGATTTGACGAGACAGGAGAAGAGTACTTCTTGCCTAACTCGGATATATCTGTATTCGCCGGACCGCCCAGCCCAGTTGTTGACGAGGGTTGGAATAGAATTACTGGTGGAATAGGAGGTACTTTTTCACGACTAGCTTCCTTGCAAATTCAACTAATGATACAAGGTCTCTATTTTCTCGTCACCGACGAAGAGGCAAAACAATCATGGGGAGAAAGTCTAGATGAATACTGGGATGATCGTCGTGGAGGATACCGCGCCGGGTAAGATCACACTTCTCGATACTACATCGAAATTGCATGGCTAAGAAATAACAGACTCGATGTTTTTCACTCTCTCCATTGCTTGGTACTGATCCATGCGCGATGGGTATCATGACGTACTAAGCGTTTGCAGAATCATATAAGAATGGCACTTTATCCAGAGTACTATACACAACACAAGGTTCACGGAAGAAAACACACAGGTACGAGCTGAGACAATCTGTGAAGATAGTGAGAAGTCTGTTGAAGATCGATAGATCACTGCATAAACCAAATCCGTCAACTCATTATGTGCCACGGGGACATAACACCAATTCCCACTAAATACTATGCCGGTTATGGGGGCAATTACATCAACTCAGATCAAGTTCACGTATGCCGCGACTTTGAATCTTTACTTCGATGGACAACAAGCAGGCATAACGGCAGGGAAGCTGTAGATCCTAGGTATAGAAATGGGACAGCTAAGGTATTGGATTTTGATGAACCGTAACAACATACTGCATATTTGATTTTCTGTTAGAATTATATGTCATCTGTGTCCCTCCACTGCAGAAAATTAGCATAGATCATTTTGTATATGCGTGACGTTAACGTGAAGACCTAGCTGTAGATAAGGCTCTGTGTGCCCTTTGGTGTAGGTGGTGCGTACTGACGTAGTGTTGTTTTGACTGGTGTAGCTGGACAAAATTCTCAGCAGGGGATGTAGTTCTCTGCTCTCATTGAAATCAACTAGCACACTTGTTGAAAATTGGGGTTGTTAACGTGCTATAGAGTTCCAGCTCGCCAACACATTGAGCCATTCTTGTGTAGTGATAGGTCTCACACACTAGTAGCGCTACACGCCAAGATAAAACACATGCATGCTGTCCAAATACGTACCAGCTGTGGCATGATTGATAATCCGTCCGGTTAAGTTGCCTGACTAGGAAATAATGAGGGGCTTCAAAAAGCGCACATTATATCGGGAAGCGAGCGGAGATGCGCGTCGGGAACCCGCGTTTTCGGTCAGCCACACATGGCCGTTAGAGCTAACTCCGGGGATTCCGATTCGTTACTAAATTCTCCAGGGCTGTGAAGATTTCCGTGCAACATACAATATCCGATGAATTCTGGGGGTTTGGGACAAGTGTAAATCCAATGGCATTTTCCGGAAGGCAAAAGATAGGTAAACCCCATATCCACAATGGACGAATCGGAAGAATCGGAGTTGATCTATCTATATATGCGAGTGCACTCAAGAATAAAGTTTGGACGGGCTTTAAAGACCAAAACTACCCCCTCTTCGCGCGAGTGAACGGGCAAACCTGAAACTCTCAGTCCTATAAAGATGGATGCGAACCTTTACATTGTTATCAGCATTGATGTTATGACTCACGCACACAAGAACTGACATTTGAATTTGTGATAATCACCAACTCTGACACACCACAACGAAAGCTTGTCGTTATGGCACCCGCGCGCGATGACAAGTTCCTACTAGAAGTTTGGAGTCTGTACTCAGTTGGTGCACTATGGCTTCTTCTCAGGTTCGCAGTACGCCTTCGTACTGTTGGAGTAATGGGGCTGCAACTTGACGATGGCTTCGCGTTCGTTACACTGATTGCCTGGACCTACACGTGCGCCGTAACAGAGATAATGTATCACACCGGAACGAATACCGACTACTCTGCAGCCGAGACAGCTCTGTTCAATGAGGACAAGTTTGCAGAAGTAGAGTTTTCAAGCAAGCTCTTTCTAGGCTCTTGGTACGCGTAGTAAGTATGAACCCATCGCATTATGGTACAGATATTTATTAATAATAAGCATTGTTTTGATCTTCAGTCTTAAAGGTGTCGTTGTAATGCTCTACCGACGAATCTTCCTGGAGCTCTGGCAAATCTACATGCTACGTTTCACGATATTTCTATGCTTGTCAGGATTCACGGCCACCACACTAGCTTTCAGCCTCTCATGCCTGCCATACTACCAAAGGTGGCAGTTGGTTCCACGTCCACCTCTCGTATGCACCGCGTCACCGAAAATACTCATTCTTGCAAGCTGTCTTAACGCTACGACAGATGTCTTTGTAGGTCCATCGATAAGTACAAGTCAGTACCTATACTAACACAGCTAAGTTGCTCAGTATACCAGTTCCGCTTCTTTGGCAGTTGAACAAGCCTTTGTACATGTATGTGGCTTTGTTGCTGTCTGTATGCGAATAGATCCTTACATGCCCAGTCGGTTTGGTATTTTTGCCCTTTTAGCTTCTGGTCTCTTCGTTCTGGCTGCATGGTACGTGATGATGTTATTATCTTCATGCAAACGTAAGGCTTACAATCAGGTTGGGAAGTATCACCCGTGTATCACTCACTGTTGTACCCAACATGTTCGTTCTCAATATTGCGCGCTGGGGTATACGAGAGTTCTGCATCGCCATTGTTGCTGTTAACAGTGCTTGTCTCCAACCTCGTAAGCTTTCCTGGCCCTTTTCTTTACATCCCCCGCTGAGCCATTAGTATTCCACAGATCGTTCTGGGCCAATCAAAAACCTCATCCAGCAAACCGGAGTAATCGAAATTACGTCTTCGCATCTGCACAGCGGGCCCGTCAACGCTTCACAAAAGCACGGAACCATAGCCATGTTCTAGACTCTACATCTGCAGGCGCATCCATCAGCAACGCGTCTATGCAACATGCAACTATGAAACAAGAATATGTTGGTAAGAACAATATTTTGAACAACTTAAGATATGAAGTCGCTTCGAATCAACCACGAAATGATCAGCACGGTAGTGGAATGGAAACTATATCAGTCATTCAGAACTTAGGAGAGCTTGACATAGAAAAAGGCGAAGCTTTCCTGACAGGATAGCCTGAACAGACAGTGGTGTCTTGCTATTTGGAAAATTTGAGGTGAAGAAGCAAGCATAACATTGTGAAAGTTAGAGCGAGAGTTTTTGTTTCAATCCTTAAACAATATAGTAACCTCACTCCCTGGGGTTAGAACATCCCACCGCGAGAACCACGAAAATCTTCAAGCGACACCACTCTTCAACCCACCGTTCTATGAAGCTCAAACAAGCACGATGATATATCCCAGTGAAATTACAATTGGTTACTAAGATTGAACAGCAAAATTACAACGGTCTTGCGCATACTTATCGACATACTCTCGCCGCTACCGGAAGCTGCGACAACGATGAACCCTGTTCTCTTGTCGGGCCCCACGATTATCGCCACTTCCGAGGTTCTAGGGCACGACTCACCATGTTAAAGTGTGCCTTGCAAAGTTCGAAAATCTGCAGCGACTAGGAACATCTGCTTCGGATTTATCCATGGAGACGTGCAGGCCTCCCCACTTAAGCAAGGATTCTCCGCACGCTGAAAAAGCGCATACTTTACACTAAGCGGCTTATCCAATTCCTTCTTCTGCTTCGCCCTCTTCTCCTCCCGCTCATTATATCGGTCGCCAAAGAGGTCAAAATGCGGCCTCATGACGATTGTGTACTTGACGAATTCTTCCATACAATCCACCAACCTATCCCTGTTCCCGCTAGGCATGAGCCTGCTCCCCTCCTCTTCATCTGTGAAGTGCTTATATGCCATGGGAATGGAGCTCTGGTTTGGAATGGCGAACATGCGCATCCAGCGACCCAGGATTCGTAGCGCATTGACTGTATTGAAGGATTGGGAGCCGCCGTTAACCTGGGCGATGGCGAGGGTGCGGCCTTGGGTTGGGCGTACGGAGCCCGTAGAGAGGGGTATCCAGTCGATCTGGTTCTTGAATACTGCCGTAAGAATGACATGCTGCTCCGGGCTAATCTAGATGTGTCCATCACTCCATTTACTGAGCTCCCGCAGCTCCTACACTTTGGCGTGGTTGTGGTGGAGGTCGTCCTTAACGGGCAGGCCAGTGGGATCGTACATGCGGACGTCGCAGCCGAGTTGGAAGAGGATTCGGCTAGCCTCGTACGCTAGTAGTCGCGAATACGATCTTGCACAATTAGATTAACAATTCTTATTAACTGGAGTTCCTACCTTTGTCGCATGCTGCCGTGTAAGACAACAACACGTAATCTGTCATCACCACGCTTAAGAATCTGTGTGTCCACCATCTTTAACGCAGTATTAAGCTCGAGCTGGGCGACCTAGTCCTGCTTCGCTTCTTCTCTATCAAGCAGAAACAGTCTGTAGCTTTTCCGAACGTCGGCATCGTCTTCTGAGGAAGGTATCGCTAGAGAAACACTATCGTAGGTTGAGTCCACAGCGAGTTCAATTCGAGCCCGCTCGGCTGATGTGTTGTTTAGATCTGCGGATCCTGTCGCCATTGCACGGGTAAACTGAGTGAAAGTGCACCGTGGGCGGGGTATAACGACGCTGCGAACACGGATGTGTGGTATCCATCGGAAGATGTTCATGGGCTTGTACAGTTGTTATAAACAGGCACGTTATAGCCTCAGCTTCCAGCGAGCATGTCATTGCGAGCCTGTCATTGGTTAGACATGTACGGTTGACCCTGCGTCAGTAGCGGCGGCCACATTATCAAAGCTACTGTCGCTTGCAAGCATCACTTCTACCACTCTAACACTTTTCGCAGCCTTGTCGAACGCGGTTCAAATTCCACTAACCATCTAAACGTTTTGAGACACCAGTTGCACTCATACTGCACTCCCATTGGCCATAGCCACCCACGTGGCTTAAGACCCTCAGGCCTTCGCCCAGAACTCGTCGTCATACTCGTCCATGCACTGCGCATACTCCCCACCGGATTTTGCCTATCCCTTGATACCCTCGACCAGCACTAGACTCTGCATCTGTTCATCTTTCTGGTCCTCGATATAATCAGCGAACCAGCTGGCAGCTCGGGTGCCCCGTCCTTTAGAAGATGCTGCAATGTGGTTAGTCCAGTTGACTCTGGCGTTACGAGAATCGTCAGACACGTACAGCAATACCAGATGATTTTACTCAGGCCAGCAGCTTTGAAAATAGCGTACAAAGTAGGTATGGTAGGGTATAAGTTCTGCGCGGGAAGATTGATCGAGCCGTGGATAGTCCCACCCTACAGTATTGTGAGCTTCGTTACTCGCATGATCGTGGATGTGTGCATAGAAGTTTACCTCATGATCGTTGCGGCGTAAATCTACCAGCACATAATCTTTACCAGCCTTATTTTGCCCAAGCTTCATTATCTCCAATACGTCTTCTCGACGGATAGCTTCCGGCTGTGAGTTCCTGGGTGCTGGGTACGCAGCATGCCATGGCGCCGGTGAAGATGCAGAGTTTGCTATAGCCATTGTCACTAGAAGTGGCGAGCGTGAAAGTATTGGTAAAGCTCTGAAAATGTGCGCCAGGATGAGGAAGGTGATTGCACGAAAAATAGTTGATCGTCATGGCAGAATGCTGCTATACATTCCATGAGCCTATATCTAGCATGTCACTACTCGGCTCTGATTAGCCAGCCATAGCGAGTAGCCAAGTCAACTAAACACTAGTGTGGTATTTGGACTATCCTACCGCATTCGTAATCATAGCAGTTCGTCATCAAAGCTTCCAGAAGTACACCCTCTGCGTATTCTACTCCTACTTAAAGACCCGGCTGACCTTCTTGAAAACCACATTTCGGCTTGCCATCATTCAACCGACCTACCACCGTCACTGCCACAGCATGAACGTACCTACCGACTGGTGCTTCACACATTACGCTCTCCATCAGATCTCACCCGGGCAACTGAAACCACCTCTTACATATAAACGTCCATGTCTGCACCCAAAGAGTACGATATGGACACCGCCAGTCCACCCACCAAGCCCTCAGACTCCGATATAGAAGCGCAGCAACAATGTCCCATCTCGGAAAGCGAGAAGACCGTTCCAGTCATCAAAGGCCTCGGCTGGCTCGACCGCTTCCTCGCTGTATGGATCCTGCTCGCCATGATCATCGGCGTGCTGCTTGGAAACTTTGTCGAGTCGACCGGGCCCGCGTTGCAGAAGGGCAAGTTTGCTGACGTTTCGGTTCCGATAGCCATCGGACTGCTCGTAATGATGTATCCGATCTTGTGCAAAGTCAAGTATGAGACGCTGCATCATTTGTTCAAGGAGAGAGCGCTCTGGATACAGATCGGTTTCAGCATTATAATAAACTGGATCATTGCTCCATTCCTCATGGTTGGTTCCCCAGTTCAACATCGATACAAATGACGCCTGTTAACCATTTTTCCAGCTCACACTTTCATGGGCCTTCCTTCCAGACCGCTCTGAACTCCGCGAAGGGCTGATCCTAGTCGGACTCGCACGCTGCATTGCCATGGTATGTCTTCCCGCACAGTACCCTTGTCCTCTTATACCGACATGTTGCAGGTTCTCATCTGGTCCGGCCTAGCAGGCGGCGACTCCGAATACTGTGCCATACTTGTCGCAGTAAATTCCGTACTTCAAATCATTCTGTACGCCCCCCTAGCCATCCTCTTTATTACGGTCATCAGTAGAGAGGAAGCCACGTTAGCCATATCCTACAGCTCCGTTGCTACAAGCGTAGCAGTATTCCTCGGAATACCTTTAGGCGCGGCAATATTGACCCGATTTGCCCTCCACAAACTTGTATCACCTTCCTGGTTCGACAATGTGTTTCTAAAATGGATAGCGCCCTGGTCTTTGGTCGGTCTCCTTTACACAATCCTCGTTCTCTTTGCCTCCCAGGGTCGTCAAGTTGTGCACCAGATCGTGTCCGTCGTGCGCGTAGCTGCCCCTCTTCTCGTTTACTTTGTTGTCATCTTCTTCTTTACACTGCTAGTTACACACAGAATTGGCTTCGGATACAAGCTCGCAACTACTCAAAGCTTCACCGCTGCGAGTAACAACTTTGAGCTCGCAATTGCTGTTGCGGTGGCGACGTTTGGGCCGAATAGCGATCAGGCGCTTGCGGCAACTGTTGGACCGCTTATTGAAGTACCGGTCTTGATTGGGTTAGTTTATCTGGTTAGGTGGATTGGGAGGAGGTGGAATTGGAAGGGGTAAGTAGTCGCTCGAGGCTATTAGGTTAGGATCGCAATCTATGATATCATAAGGAAGGGGATTCAATCATATCACGTTCAAATGAATATGATGCACGTTCTAAGAAAACAGACTCAAGGATTTATAAATTTGTTGGACAGAGAACTGGAGACCACTACACTAGGTTAGCGACTCTATCATCGCATTTAGTACTATCTACTATAACACCAGAATTAAATTAAAACATTCCTTGCGTTTCTCTACAAGTTGCTCAAGTACTCAAGTACTCAGCCTAATCCTCTTTCTCTCCACCATCCGTCTAACTTGCGCCCGCCTCTTCTGTACTATCCAGGAGATACTCAAGGCCCTCTTTGCCCTTACCACCCGCAGCTCTTCATTGACCGTATTCGCTTAGTTCTGTTCCCTAGAATCAAGCTTTATAAGACTCCTGGCTCTCTCATTTATCCCCTGAGCTTAGTCGAAAGGTACTGCTAGCGTTGGGCCTTCGTCCGTCGCGAGGGTCGTTCTTTGGCGCGATACCACACGGTGGTACGAGACAAAAGGGCATCGCTGCGTTCTTCTAGAGCAGTATAGGTCCTGCGCACACCTATGGGTAGGTTTTGCGCCAGCGCCTGGCTAGCTGGATCCATAGCTACTCCCCGTAGTGATGCTGATGGATGGCGCACAGCGCGAACATCGACGGCTCGCAGTGGCGGACAATCGTGGACAACGTGCGTTGAAGATAGCACGAAACTGGTGGCTGTGAAAACTAGATAAAGCATAGCGCGTTTTTCGATACATAATAACATAACACGCTCAATTGAATGCTAAGCTCTGTGGCAATATCCCTCTCGATCTGAGATACTCTCGGATTTCTCATCACGGATACGCTATGCCACTAAAGCTTCAGAACGAGGACTTTCTTGATAGAACCTTTGTGCTATAGCCCCGAAACCTAAAGATGTGCTATCGTTCGCAATCTAGCAGGGGCAAATAGCTGAGGCGCAAACGGTGATCGCGAACAGAACCTTCGACGACAAGCTCAAGACCGTTGTGATTCTTAACTCGAGGTATAGAGATACATACATGACTAGCTAATCTATTAATACACCATGTCTACACTGTTATGCTATCGCGTTGGCATGTTCTAGGCATCAAAGAAGAGGATGTTGTTCCGTTAGTTTTTACAGTGCCTAGCTGCTTAAGGGATGTTGGAGCGATGTATTAAGTGAAATTGCTGGAAGTGTTCGAAATAAAAAGATTTCAAGAGACAGAGTCGAATTTAATCTTGGTGCGAAGTTATATAGCATAACCATCCCTCCGATGTTTGACGATCGGGGTGGTCTCTGCAAGTGTAGCGTCGCGCATTCTGACCACATGCTCTAGTAGCCTTAGAGCGTCCACGATCTGTCCATTCGCCCAGTAGGAAATACCAAGCTGATGGTGCGACGCTAGCTGATCAGGGTGAGTCTCTGCGAGTGTATAGTCTTACACCTTAACTAACGTCCATCCCTGCGTGACGAGACGCCACAGATACTCCCTATCATAACAAAGTCAACAACAGGTCATAAGAATAGATATTCTTGGAATAGTAGTTCTAAGACAAAAAATCTATCCTCCTCTAATATCTAGTACGAATAAATTCTACTTACCGTGCAACACGACAGTTTGCTATGATCGTCACGCAACCGCGTCACACAAACAGGTTTGGTAGGGTGCGCGGGATACCAATAGAACAAGTTAGTCGCGCTGTCATAACTGATAACTATCTACGCAAAAATGGTATGTTAGGGCAACCCTTCAGCCTAGAGCATTATGAAAGGGGCTAGATGACATTAAATGCTAGAGGTATAGTTACTTGGCTTGTTGAAAGGAAGGTAGGTAATCGTAACACAAAGCTGTATTTCTAATAAGTTGTATCAGAGCGTTTTGTGCTGTAGAAACCCGCCTCCCGTCCCTTCAGGCATCTAGAAGATTGAGACGGCTGACATGGTTTCTCTAACTGTGTATCTCTAACTGTATATGCAAACCGCAAGGCTAGCTGTATCTTCCTAGCCCCACCGAGTTCCACAATTGACATCGTTTGGCAGCCTGTGCCCTCCAGCAGCATCTGATTAAGTATCTCAAGCTCTTCTCTCCTTCTAGCGAAGTATCAGTTCTTACGTAGTAGTATATAATAGGAAGGTTTGTGGATAGCTAGTAGGTCAGTGTAAAAGGATCGGACATATAAAGCTAACTATCTAGCTGCTGTTGTACGTACTAGGTGTATAAGTAGTGATGCGCTCTCTAAGGCTCCTTTCTAATGCCTGTGGCTAGGATGGTTCCTGCGAGTCTTCCGTAATTACTCTTCATAGCCTTTTAAAAGTATTAGTCTTAGCTTCGCTGTAGTTAAGTAAGGTAAAGATGCCAAAGATATCTAGTAATATGTACGCCTTATCTTTTTTGTACGTAGTCTAATGCTTACTTAACTAAGATAAGCACTCCTCTATGCAGAAGGTATTTAATAGAGCTTCTAGAAGGGTAGAGTAGAGAATATTTATAATCTCATAAATAAGTTATTTTGGTTTATATTAGTTACTTAGATACATTCTATCTTTAGAGAGGAAGCTTATAAGGAATAGGGTAAGCTACTCTTAGAGTGTCTGACCTTAAGTAAACTACTGGCTTTGATAAAACACCTCTTTCTAAGCAGGTATCAAAATGGGCTGCACCCGTGAGTGAAACACGTAATTATATCACGTTTTCTCTTTATACCGCTTAGTCACGAAAGCTTATTCGTACGAAGGAACCTAAGGTAAGAGTATAAAGTAAGAGACGTCGTATAATAGCTTTATTTTCTTTATCTCTCTTCTTCTGTAATATACATAGGTTAATGCATACTCATTCGAAGGCCTCTTCGCCCTTAACAGATAGTAAGTTGAATATCTAATTTATTTAAAGCTGGTAGAGTAGCGCTGCATTAAGCTATTTGATGATAATATGGGAGAGGTGTGTAAGTTTGGTGGGGTGTGGCGCTCGCTCGTGAAACACGTTAGTTTTTTTAATAACTACCTCTTGTTGAGGGCGAAGAGGCCTTCGAACGAGTTTGCATTAGCCTATGGTACAGAAGAAGAAAGATAAGAAGAGTTAAGTTGTCGTATGACACCTCTCTCTTTATACCTTACTTCTCTACTCTTCGTACGAGTAAGTTCTAACTAAGCGGTGTGATATAGGCACGTGATACAATCACGTGCTTTCACTCCACGGGCGCAGCCCATTACACCTCTAACTACGTTAACCTAGTTTCTAGCCTCACTAAGGCTGACTAAGCATACTTTAACCGTATCTAGATAAAACTACTACCTCTTAGCTTTTCAAATCACTAACTCGATTAGAAATAGCTCTACTATTCAGCTAGTAATACTACTTTAGATATAAGAACTTTTTAGAATATACTTTTTCCATGTCAGCCCTCCGTAGCAAGTATACAATTAGGACGTGATACGCCCTCCCAATACTACATCTGAGATAGGAGTATTTCTACATTTAGACATGGCATACACTTCAATATCAGTACTTATTTTTTCCGCGTAAACGATCACCATTCAGGCTCGAAGCAATGCTCTATGCGCTAGGCAAAAGGCTAATCCCTTTAACGCTTAGCACCCATATTCGGACAAAATTAGCAACAGCTCTAGAGCGAGCTTCCAACAATGCTTTGTGTATTATAAGTTAGTGGCACCGCTGCGGCAAATGTTCAAAGTCAAATCATAGACTTCCTTTCTACATTCATCAATATGCTCTTCAACAGCATCGTGCTCTTCGCCGCAGCAAGCCTCACTCACGCTGTCGTTCTCCCTGCACCACAGGTCAGCGATCGCAGCAAATGTATCGACTCGCCGCAAAGAATTGAATGGCGCAAGCTCGAGCCTGCTAAGCAGAAGAGCCACATTGACGCCGTGCTTTGCTTGAAAACGAAGCCTTCACGTATCTCTCTCAAGTCACTGTTCGACGACTTCCCGCACGTCCATTTCCAAGTGGCTAGCAGTAGTAAGTCCGCCATTTGTCTTGATAGTTACGCCGCTAAGACGAACTCTTCCAGTCCACAACCAAGCGACGTTCCTGCCCTGGCACAGGTACTTCACCAAGTGCTACTTCGATGCGCTCGGCGAGTGCGGATACAGTGGTCCTGGAACGCAAGTCTCCCACTAGCCTCTCAAAAATAGACTCCACTAACGTAGATGCAACTACTGGGATTAGACACTCGACCACGACTCCCTCATCGTATCCCCGTTCATGTCGTCCACCACCGGCTTTGATGGCAATGGCGACCCCAACCGCAGCGAGTATTACGCGCCGAATGGCCAGATACTATCGTGCGTTGACAGCAGACCTTTCAAGGACTTGCGCCCAGAGTACCTCCCCAATTCACCCACCGAGATCACAGAGGGAGGTCACTGTTTCTTCCGCAAATTAGCCGAGGTCAACAAGCTAGAGGCATGGAATACGATGAAAGACACGCTCACCCCGGAATACGTTGCCAATCAGCAGAAGCTTGAGGTTTTCGCAAAGTTTGCGCCGGCTCTCGAGGCCAATCCACATGGAACTATCCACGCCAGTTTGGGTGGCGAGATGAACCCCACGACTTCGCCAAACGGTGAGTACAGATGCGCATTTGATGTGCTGTTGAGTATGCAAGCGACTAACGAAACTTCCAGAGTCACTTTTCTTCCTTCACCACCCACAAATCGATCGTCTGTGGTGGACCTGGTAGCAGCAGGATACGGAGAAGCGTGTAGCTGATTACAGCGACGTGCATTGGCCTTGGGGAAGCACAGACTACATTCCAGCGTCTATGAACGATACATTGAACATGCTGGGCGTCGCAGACGATGTGCTAGTCAAGGATGTTATGAGCACCACCGGGCCAGTGTTATGTTACCGGTACTAATTGCAATTTACTTCACTCAGAAGGCGGAAGAGTATTACTACTTATAATATAGATAGTAGTAAGTGAGTGGAGTATTCCAAATTATATAGAATTGATAATACAAGCCATGCTAACTAACTTGGGAAGAGTGTCTGACGGTTTAGCAGTGCAAGCATAATGACACAGCGCAGTGCTATATGTATCGAGCGATATAAGTAGAAAAAAGATCGAAACGTGCTCGATAGGTGATCACTCGATCCAGAACATACATAACTGCAAGCTAGCCAACAGAACTATCAGAGCTCGTGGCCAAGATGAAAATGCTCCGAAGACTTTCATCAAACAGGATCCACCAAGCATCGAAAAGGATCCCGATAATAAACTTTAATAAGCATATGTACTGTCTAAGAGGCACGAATCTGAAGACGCAAGGCGTTCATATGCCCTGTTGCTTTGGAACGTATTCCACTAACCTTGGACGTGGTACATCGTAGGAGAACCCACCGTTGACGACAAGCTCCCGCCCTACCTTGCCCAAGGTATATTTGCCAAACCTGGTACCTACAACATTATCATGCGCTACTCATCTCTAACCCCCAAGACAAAACTCTAGCGCTAACACAGAGTCGGCAACGCCAAATTCCGACAAATACTGGTATCAAAATATAACATATCTAGAAAGAGAATGCAACATAGATAACTATAGAAAACAAAACATACCTAGAGAAATACTTAAGAAAATAAAACATAAAGAAAGAAAACAATTGGTCTTTACGTAGAGTGTATATTATGGATCAGACTGTGCCTACCCTAGAAAGCTTAGGAATAGAACGGACACGTGACGGAGGCTTTAGCCCCAAACTAAGCATGCGACTAGTAGATTTTGCGCTTACTACTACCGCATGTAGAAGATAAGATAATGTTTTCCTGGTCAACCACATTGAAATTGAAGGGTCATTTTGTATGGGCCATACCCGTGAGGCATCTTAAAAGTGCTTACCAGTACCGCGTAGTGATACTCGGAAACATCAGGGTGTCGACAGTGCCAAGAGCGCTGAGGATAAGGACAGTATAGAAGGGAAGCATAGTCTCCGGAATGATGTCATTAGGTTGGATGCATTACTCGCAGCGAGTTTTCGGGGGATGCAGGACGTGGGGCAAAGCTCATCTCCTTAGAGTTCTAGTCTTACACGTAACATTGTGGTAGAGACCAGCTCGTATGCTAATACGATCATTGATAATTAGGATGAATGAATCTTTTTTCTTGCTTATTGAATGGATCATTACTTTGATTGATTTTGCTTTATTGAAGTTACTTTGTGAATAATCCGCGTGCGCAAGACTCTAATATATCTAATTTTGCTTTGATGGCAGACCTAATAGAAAAGCAAAGAAACTAAGTACATCCTGAGATGGAAGATGTACTATCAGAGATTTTGATAGATTCTAGAATAAACAATTTTAATGTAGAAACTCGCTGGTGATCAATTCGTCATGTTCTTGCACGCATTGCGCTTCCCAGTGAACAAAGACTCCAATCGTCGCGGATACCTAATATCTCGGGGTTGTAGGCCATAGAACAGTTTGGAACAGATGGAGAATGTTACTATGCTTATCTGATGGGTGTTGTGTAGTCGTCGTTGGCATAAGGAACCTAATTCTAGAACAAGGCGTAGTGACAGGTTGCGTAAGCCTAGCTAAAGAGGGCTCTGTATCGACTACGTCCGATTATGCGTCACAGCCGCAAATTAGATTGACACGATTAAGCATTGAAGCCTATCGAGAAGAGGGCGGTACGTTTGGTGAGGAAGTCCATGGTATGTCCGATATCTCCCATGTTTGCCTCTTCGAGTTGTTTGTAGAGTGCCGAAATAGCCGGATGACAATGGGAGCACTAGAAGATGTATTCGGTCTTGTGGTCAATTACTCTACGCCGGATGGCATCGGCGGAGCCTCGAGGGGTGATGGTCGACATGTAGCGGGGGTCGATCGACTGCGATTGTCTGTGACGTTTCAGTACTGCTGACCCTTTGGTTGTGGTATAGGGCGAGTCTTCTATTTACAGGCTTTGAAGCTACCACCGGTCCTTTTTATTTAGCTGTACTATAGCCAAACGGACGAGTGACCGTATTACATTGTCGCACCACGCGTTCTCATCGCGACCGCCGTCTTCGCAGTTACGCGCATTGAGGAATATCATCTTCACCTTATTTCATACTGCAGAGAGCTCTTGGGCGGAAAGCGCATCGTTCAAGTTGAAGTCTGCAGATTTTATGATCTGGTGGTCCACGTCCGAGTCGTTCTTGATGATGTCCTATGACGGGTGTCAGCAAGGCCCAAGCACGGAAGGACGATCACGTGCACCATACCTTGAAGCCCCGGGGAATGAAATGCAAGTCAACGTATATGACAAGATAGTTGGCTAGGTCTTCGACTTGCTGAGGTGGTTGGTCCCGCAGGCCGTTGAGGTTCTCGGTCAGCATTGGCGGCGATACGCTCTCCAGGATGATTGGGGGATTCGCATGTCGGACTTCACGCATGTGAAAGGTTGGATGAAGCACTCTCGCCACCTAATTACGACGCGCTTTATTCGGGCCAGGCCTCGTCATTCTCACCCAATCTGTGCCGCTTGGAGCTTTGGTCTCGGTGCAAAGTGGGGCCTATACGTTCTCAGAAAGGGACATGGCGCGCCTGCGCGTACAAGCGTCCGGCGAAAAAACGTCACCCGGTGTTGGAGTTGGAGGACAGAGAGAATTGTACCTCTATTTGAGCCAGATATTCACGATCTCAGTGAGTGAAATACCGTTCATGTTGAGACATAACTGCGTTATAAGGCGGGTGTTGTTTGCTCGCAGCCTGCAGCCGCTGCCCAAGTGGTACTACTACGCATATGCCCCACGTTCACGTGCGAACGGGCTCCGCTACTCTTTCCTATGCACGACTTTGATGATTGGCTGCGTATATACATTTGCATGTGAAAACTCGTCGAAAAGACCTCCATGATTATAATTATTTCTCAGATATTGAAGGATAAGTAGAAACAGAATCATATGTGGATCTTTGCCTGCTAAAGACACGAAAAGCTGATGGAATAATATTATTAAATTAGTTCCTAGTAGTTCTCGCAAACTATTCTCACTTGCAGTGATAAATAACTTCTTCTGTGGTAACTTCCCATGAATACAGGTAGTAGTTGGTATAGTATTTCATTACCTTGTAACCAGGATCCGGAATGCAATCATGTCCCTATCTCGGCAGCAACATCGACAACTAGTAAACAATTTCGAAATCGAGCGGCGAGGTCAAGGACCGCAAGCGTCTGATCGCCTCCTCTCATGCTTCTCTATAACGCTAAATCTATGATCGCGCTGGCTGGCATGGTAAAAGATACAAGTACGCGTTTTTTTCTTCATAGACGGAAATTGAGATGAATGGCGATAGATGCTTCACGTGATTTCTCTATGCTAACAGGCTAACAATTGGGCGATCTCAAACCCGATAGGGCTCAATCCTTCATGCAACTTTGTTGTGAAATGTAAGCATGCGAATTTTTTGTTCCAAGTTGCCATCACAGAAATCTCATGTATTCCTTGGGATTTGGACCCAAACGTGATACAATGGAGCATTGCGCGTGACGGCCATTAGTGCTTATCGTGCTCAATGAAAATTATCAGTACAGCGACGAGAGAATCCAGCTATTCTGCAGGTGATTTACGCTAATAACAACAGTGCTCAGCCTTGCCGCTTTCTCTAGGCATTAAACCACTGATGTACTATACAGTTGCAAAGCAACTTTTGAAACCGCGACCAGATATTGGGTCTAGAACTCAGGTCTAAGCCCCAATCCGCATCCTATGTGCGTGTGTTAGGATCTATGATTGGAGGAGGTGGCTGCGCCACACAAAAAACCCCGCAGGCGTTCTTTCAGCTGAAAGCCTCAGGCTTGCCCACCTGACATAAGTTGAGAGTGCATCTCAGGCTCCATCCTTATCACCTTCTCCTTCCCTTGAACTCATTACAATATCAAAGATCTCAATTTTGATACCATCATCTTGATACAACCACAATGCGAATAACTATCTATACGTGTAAGGTGTCTGGTAGTGAATTCCACATGAGCTATGTGCTAAGAAACAGTCTTAGTGAACGGGGTCAGCCATACACTAAATCCGGACCCGAATGATACCATCGAAGATGCTATGCGTCTACTCCAAGAACAGACGGGTATTCCACCATCGCGGATGCGCTTTATATATGGGGGGAAAGCACTCAACCCAGTACGCACACTAGTTGATTACAACATTTATGAGGGTAGCACTATTCATTTGGTGCTTCGTCTGACAGGCGGCATACCTGATTCGACGGATGTCGTGCAGCTGGTTCCCGAAAACAGCGCATTCCCTACCAACAAAGATGCCGAAAAGACAATCAAAGAGTGGCACACGCTTGCCCAGAAAGGAAATTTCGATGCGGACATTCACATTGTAGCTCCACATGCTTACTATGCAGAGTTAGAATCGACTGAGCAAAAGGTCGTGCTACGCTCCCAATGGATACGTCAGGGTGGAGACCTGGCAGGATACGGCCCAGAGACGTGGTCGATGATCCATGATTTAAAAAGCATACCCACAACTCCTCCTTGGATCCAGGACCTGGTGGAAGATCTCAACAGAAATGGAGGAGCCCCAGTAGACAGAGCTTTGATGACGATATGTGAAATCTACCGCACACTTCTTGGGCTAATTGAAACCTTCGGCATGCTGAAGAAGCAAAAATTCTGCTCCACCTTCTTCAGTATTCTTGTTGAGCAGAGCCAAGGTGCAATTGCCGAATTGGTGCGAGTAAGGGAGGAGGATCTTAATAATCTTTTGGAAGGGCTTGAATTTGCCTTGACGTTCGCTTCCAATCGAGAAAGACTTCTTCTAGAAGAAGGAGATGATGTTGTTATGCAGTCGCTCATGGCTCCTGCAGAGACAATGTTGACGGTTCTCGGCTCAAAAGAGCTTTCCCCAATGGTCACTACATTGGAAGAAGCATTGGATCTCTCTCGTATGCTTGTGTATCTGCTAGACCTAGGGATGGTTTTTTACGTTGGCTCTCATACTTCAACACTGGACAAGCTCGCTTCTGACCAAGAGATAAATGGCATGGGTCTCGACGACCAGAGCGTGTTCAACTTTACCTGCAGAAAACAACCTCTTGCGTGCCTCGGTGGATTTCTGGATGATAATTCTGTCTGGGTATTTCACTTTGGAAGCCGCGAAGTAACTTCTCCCAACAGGAAGTTTGCTATTCTCACGACAATAGAAGTTCTGGCAGATGTCTGGGGTCCGGTATGGGCTGAGGCGAAAAACACGATCAATCCTGGAGATGAGCAGAGGATCACGAAATACTCTGTTTCAAAAGGTTGTATCCGTCGTGTTCGAAGCAACGCACCGTGTGAGGTGCCCGGAGCTATCAGATGTCATTGGTACAACTGGGCGCATGACTTCAGGCTGCGCTTCTCTAATCTTGTTACAAGATCAGAAGAGCTAACCATGTCGGTAAACGACAAGTTACTCATCGGCACAGAACTTCGATTGAACCCAAATTGCAATTACACTCTACAGGAGTATGAAATGAGCTACGACCAAATGATGAGACCCCTAGGGCCAAGACCGTCATCATGGAAGCTAGATGGTGCCACACTAGGAATTCAAATAGCCGCACCAAAGGTTGTTGCATTCCAAATTCAGGGAAACGTGAAAAAAGTCCCTGAAACTACGATCAAACAGTTTATAATGGAAAAATGGCGATTTGAGCCAGAACGCGCCAATCCTGGGATACTCAACAGCTACTTTGGCTTGGAGATTAGCCACTGCACGGGAAATGCCAGGAGGGTGCCGCTGAAATATATCCTTCTGATGCCCTGCGTCCAGGAAATGTTGGAGAGACAAATTCCAGGATGGACACTAACTCAGTGGGGCATGTCTTTCATAAAGGCAATGCAGGTCGAGTCAGACGAAGCCATCTTCGCGTTCTGGATACAACATCCGCATGAGCGACCTCTTGTAGGTCAATTAGTTCGCAGCGTACTTGACGTACTCGACAGTACAGGCAAAGATGACGTTGGTTTCCACGCAGCGTTTCTTCATGGAAACAGCGAACATGGAGTCGACATTGATGAACGCAACAACGAATGGGCGCACCTGCTGAGGGATACGTTCTTGATGGCCACCTATGCTATCGTAAACGAGACGTGTCTTGAATGCCGACAGCCTGACCACACAGCAGCTATATGCAACGACGAACCAAGATATACGGTCCTACAGACGCAGGTTGAACTTCGGAAGGGTGATGTTCTAAGAGATCGCTTAAGGATTGAGCCACATAATCAGACCTTCCGACAAGTTGACAAAGAGCCGGCGATTCAACGAACTCCGCAATATCTAGCGCCTGAAGTAGCACTCAAGCGAGCGCTGCTTGGAAGCTACAATCTGGCTATCGCGAAAGAAGTATCAACCCAAAAAGAACATCCATCAGGTGACATTGCGAAGGTAACGATTCGAGCTTCTGGCAGAAGTTTTGGCGGAATGAGATATAAGAGAGAGCATATAATGCTAAATGCAAGAGCTGATCAAGCTACAGGTATGGGCTGTGGTACTGGATTCATGTCTACACCTGAAGATTTAACGCAGATTGAGATTGAAGAACTAATCAAAGCGCAGCAGAAGCAAGAAAGGGAACACATTATTACACGGGGTTAGGTGCTGATACTTCTCTAAGCTCGATCAGGGTTAGGGTAAGTAGGATAACGTGAATAGCTCCGTGAGGGTTTTGTCTGGCGATGCAGTGGAGTGGCGTGCTTGTAGAAAAGGTACAACAGATTCGACAAACTCTAATCTATTCAATAGACCAACGAGTAACAATCTTGTAAAGTAAAGTAACTAGTAAGAAAGTACAATTTAAGTTGACCTTAACGAGAGTAAATAATAAAATCCATCCATCCTAATATCCTTATTGCTTCCCATCCTTGGCGGGATGCTAGCTCTTGGCGGGAGGCCAAGTCATGCGATCTCGCCCCGCGATGATCATCCTTTTCGTCAGGATCCCAAGTGGTTTCTCAACTATTCGTCAGGATCCCAAGTGGTTTCTCAACTATTCGTCGTTATACCCAGGGGAGAGATGCTTCCCGCTGTTACTTGTAACACACATGATTTGCAAAACATAAAAGATGCTAGGGGTGTAAGCATAGGCGACTTTGTTTATAGTATGAATGTAGGCGCTTTCCGTGCCAATTCTTCACTATTCTATATGCCCTTACTCTTCTATATAGTATATCTTAGTAGTATAGAAACTCTATTTTTCCAAATACTAATGACTTTAATAATAAAATAAGCTTATTATATTGTGTTTAGTTACTTATTATGTAGTTACATGGGCGGCGCGAGTAGCTACGTGTCAGATTGTGATGGGTTATCAAAGATAGGTGAAAAATGGATGGGTTATTGATTCGGTTGATTGATCTGATCTGATCTGATCTGAGTTGTTGTTCTTGTCTTGTTTGATCTGATCCATGCTGATCCCCTGAGTATGATCGCGGTGGATCGTGCACTCTGACTAATTACAGAATCCGGGTTCTATCCACCACCCAAAATATGCCCATATTCTGGCACTACGTGCTAGGCTGGATCTAGCCTACTTATTACACTACCTAGTGCCTCCACTCTAGAGCTTTTTCAATATCTATTTAAAAGGTTTACTTTTAATAATACTTAACTATTTTTTTACATCTCGCTATTATTTTTTTTTTTTTTTATTATTTTATTATTTTGGTTTTACGTCCTGTCTCAGCCGGTGGGCTATATAAGACGTGCAGGCTA